CGCGCGCCATACCGTCGTCGATCTTACTTTTACTTTTCCACCTGCGAAGGTGGTGCCCCCGTCGCAGTCATCGTCAATTCTTTTAAATTTTCCCTCTTCTAAATACTAAATAATATTATAATCATGTTGGTCGTAACAATAGCATTTGAAAAATCACCAACAATAACAATGTTTTATTGTTAAAATTGGGGAGGGGGGGTGAGAGATTACCCAACTCTTGCAGATTTAAAATATTAATAACTCCTAAGCGTATAACACTGTATGTTATACAATATAACGACGAAAGAAAAAAATAACGATTGTTCAGAACATATTTTGCATACAATTTGATATAAAATTTTTTTCGACGATAATAACACAATATTTTACAGTAATATTGCGTTACAAGTTACTAAAAACTAGAGAATTTCTCGACTTCCCGGACTTTCTGTTATGCCATAGTTTCATTTTAAAAACCCCTTCTGTTTAGCATATTATTTGTGTAACTCTGTAGTAGTACGTGTACAAATTGTATTCCACCAAAACATTCTTCATCGTGCATTATATTCTGTTCCAAGTTTAACTCGGAAACACGAAAATCCTTCCATTATAATACAACATTACTCTTATCGAACGCGTTAAGATGATACTGATATACTCTTAAAAAAAAAAAAAACTAACTAAATTTATTTTACTACGATTGATTCGTTGAGTTTAAAATGTATTTAAAATACACGAAACACTTAAAACAATATGCTCTTAAAGTAATGTAAAAAATCCTGAAATATAGTTTAAAAATCAAAAAACGGCGAAATATGCAAAATAGGTCAAATAGAAACAAGACTTTATTTTAATAAAAATCCAACGAGCTGCCTAAATATCCATAAGTGTTCAGGGATGACACAGTATACTGTTCAATACTAGACTACATTATACATAAGATTACGGATAATGCTAATAATACAAACATCGATACACTTAGATATAAATGTGCATAGGAGAAAATAAATAAATAATAATATTATGTTTAGTGTTTAATACGTCGAAAAATAATGGCTACATAATTTGAGATCAATAGTTGAAATTTAAGCCGTACTCCCGGGAAATTCAAATTTTGCCGTTAAATAACTTTTTGCAAACAAATTTAAAAATTAAACGATACAATTGGAATAAGACTCATTATATTTGTTCCTATGAAATTATATATTTCTAGCTGACCCGACTGCTTTGCTACTGCTAAATAATAGTGTAAACAATACTGAAAATATTAATTGTTTTCTTGTCCGTGAAAATCAAATTATCGTCCATGCCGCCGAAATGTAACCCACGAATGAACAAAAATAAATAAATAAACCAATAGATATTCCATAAATTCAAAAAATACCCATACACCCTTATTTTACCCTTAAGGGATTGAATTCAAAAGCATCATTTCTCAATGAATGCCTACGCCATAATATAGCTATTTTGTATATATATGCCAAACTTAAGTTCGCCAAATCTCATTCAGTTAATCAGGACATGTTATTTTATAAAATATACAGAGTGTCTTGCGATGATTTTCCACTTGAAGTAACTTATGTTCAATTCAATATTTTGATATGTATTTTTTTTTTAATAATAAGTATGCCTCAGCGCTATGGTTTATATATAATCATTTTTTTGGGGCATACTTAAAAAAAAAATTCAAAATAACCATTTTGTAAAATAGATTTTTAGACAATGTTTGATGGTTGAAACTTCTGTTAAATTATAGTCGTGTATTTTCTACGATTTTTTGAAATTTTCGCAAATGTGAATATTACACAATGTGGGTATTCTATTACGATATTTAATCAGAGCTCATGACAAGGACTTTTTTCCATGAGTTAAAATCATGTAACAGTATAATCATATTATAGGTATTGGTTATTACAAAAGTAAATCAATTATGTTAATTTATATTTAAAAACAATATCGTTATGATTGAAATGAAAATTATTCAAATTTTCAAAAATTCGTAACGGTTAATAGGGTAATAAATTTCTTATATGTAACCCTTCCCTACGCCCCTCGTCTAAACTTAAAACTGTTATGACTCATAAACGGCGAATCTGATATTAGTGTTATGCATATCAAAATTTCTAGGAAAAAATTCAAAATTTTTTTAAAATGAAGTTTAAACCATTCCATAATTCTCAGAAAAAACATAAATCGAATTCACTCAAAATTTGAGATAATTATTGGTTCATGATAAAAAAAATTCACCCTGTATACCTATAATCTATAGATTTTAAGTTATACGTTTAAATGCACAGTTTTATTTAGCTGTATAAATCAATTTATGACCATAATAACTGTTAAAGGTTTGTTTCATAAGTTAGGTACTTGTATACTTTTAACAAACATTTAATTTTCTTTAGCATTTACAAGCACATAATTGCAGAATATTAAAACAAATTTTGTATTTTTTTTTCTCCAAATACGGGATTTATAATTTTTCACGTAAATGATACTTTTGCGAAATAAAATTGTAAAACCCTATTTATTGTTATTACTTCAAGATAAACGAGTGAGCATCAGGTCATGCATGCAAGTAATCCCAATACCTATGTACGTACCTATATCATTATGGTTCGCAATTCGAAATTCTATCGGCGGTGCGGATACCCCGTTTCATATAATACAATAATATAGGTAATATTATTATTACGACCTTATATATATATGTTTTATTATTGTTCTGCGAAGCGTGTGATTTATACAGGGTGGTTATTTTTTTTATCATCGTCTAATGACTATTTTTGTATACAGATTTCTATCTACATTTAATTATCAGTCGTTATTTTGTTATAAAATCAAATATAAAATTTGTTCGAAATATCATTTTTAATTTTTTTCACACCAGAAATACATTTTAATATCAATTTTTCAATTTTTATTTGAAACCCTCCGCCTTTCAAATCGGATTGGTATATAAAACAAACTTAGTGCTGTGGTTTCGACGTCTTTAATAAATAAAAATAATTGTTCAAAATTCACACAGATCTGCTTGTATTATAACGACTGAAAAAATCCAAAGACAATTTTATTGTCTTATAAAATTTTGTTTATTTAATATTGTTTATTAAAAAATATCATCCTGTATATAAATATTCGCTACCGTACTGAATTTATTAATATTCTGTATACGTACAAACGAATTATAGCTGGGTACGTAATTATTCCCGGAGAATACCGGTTAACGATCGCACGGGTAAATCCCCGGACGGAAAACGCTTTATTGGCAACCCCTCTTCCCAAATTCACGAATAAAAAATTTCAATTTTCTTTTCGTGTGGAACACCCATACGTATCGATCAAAGCGATTTTCAAAGCAAAAAACGATTTAAAACAATTATGTTGTTACACAAATTAACGAGTTTCATCGAGTTTAATTTTATATTATACTATGCAGAGGGATGAGCAAGATTGAACATTTTGACTAGAAACATTTGTTTTTTGCGGAGATTGTGTAGACGTTTGGATTTTGATATACCGAAAAATCGCGCTTAATAATCGTCAACTGAAAGGCATCTAATAAAATAGTAAATGGCACCTGAATAAGTTATGGAATATTATTTTGTGTTAGATCAAACTTGATAGTGAGAATTCAAAAGCCAAATTCGAGAAAGGTCAATATGTAACCCCTATTAAATTAGCAACACAACCATAATAGATATTTATGAAATAAAATAAAAATATTTTGTATTCGATAAATTGTAATTGTTTTCGTAACTTGGTTGACATATTATATATTTATGTTTAAATAGCTGTCCTACCCGTCGTTGCCCGTACCAATTATTTATTATTTGTTTTACCCATATTACTTTTTGGTATTGACTGGTTTGGTATTGAATGAAAAAAAATTGGTGGAAAGTGTGTAGTTCACTTTCGGCGGACTAAAAGTGTTCTGTTGTGGCATTTTTTCATGATCATCATACCAAAAATATCTAAACACCGAATTTTGGGAGGAAGTAGATTTTAAAGGAAATTAAACCTAACCTATCGAGGATTAGGGACTCTTGGCAGTGGGAGAGCGTGTGTACTGTGTGAGCTGTATTATAGTCGTCACTTGCAGATAACACGGCGTTCCATCTATACTTTGTATAAATTTATATGAATACAAAATGAATAAATCAATTGTCATAATTAGAGACCGGATTTATATGTTCTTAAAATCCACAATAAAGCACTTGTAAATGTCAAAAAGCCTTGCAAATATCACTTATAAATGTATAAAACGCAAAAGTAATAGAAGGAGTTCAATAGTTGCCTCTCCTTTTAGGTCCTGCCCGACCTTGCCTGTGCCAGTTTGTATTATTTTTTTACTCATATAGCCGGCAGTGACAATTGTACAGTTAACAAACGTGTAATTTGTATGATCTTCAAAAGGTTTGTACGCATTCTAGTACTTTGTGATATTATAACAAGCACATCGATATCGATATAAATTAATCCAAATAGTGTTTTAACCGAGTTTGTTTTAATTTATTCACAAAAAAAATTATTTAGTTTTATAAATTAATGTGTATTATAAAAATAAAACACTAAACAGTATTTACTATGAAAACAGTATTATAATTTGCTAGCTGTCCTACTCGTCGTTCTTTGTGCCAATTTTTTATTATTTGTTTTACCCATATTACTTTTCAGTTTTGACTTTTTTACTTTTCGGTATCAGTAAAAAATAAAAACAAATAAGTGGAAAGTAAGTAGTTCACTTTCAGTGGACTAAAATTATTTTGTTGTGAAATATATTTTTAAATTTTAAATTACTATTCGCCTTAATCATTAAATATTTCTGGATACACCACGTTAAGTGTCTCACTTTCTGGGACCGGCAATTTTTTTTTGCATGTGATAGGTGACAGATCCACATAAAAACATTGGACAGTTCGGTCTAAACTCTAAATAAGCAACATTTTATGTCTGAACTTGTGCTCTATTTATGGTCATTGAAAAACATAGTTTCATGAGAAATTAAAGCTATGTGAACTGGAATGGTAAATTGGTTGATATCATTGGTAAGACCGTTTCCCCAGCTCCACAGCCAGTAAGAATCATAAACTCAAGCAGACAGTTTTTTTAAAGATTTTCATTGCAATATTGTGCGTTATTAATTACAATAGATATGTTTTGACTGACTTTTTAAATGTTTTTCATATTGTATATAAAGACAATGTGTATAATATTAGTGCTATGGTATCGAGCTCAAAACTCAGACAACATTACAACTTTTACTAAATATATTTTTGCAAAAAAAAAATACAAATCAACAAGCATGCCCAATTAACCAATAGTAACTAATACACTATTATTATTTAAATCTGTAACCAATAGCAACCATACAATAAACAAAAATATATTATCATTAAGCACTATTGTTATTTCATCACCACCACACATTCCTCTCCAAACGTATTAGGTTGGTACGTCTAATAGATGACAATTTGAAAAACCAAATTGCGGCGAACTAACTGCGAAGAACACACACTTCTCAACAAACTCAAAACTGGATAAATGTTCAGATAGAATAAACTGGGCACCAAGAAATTAATAAATTCATTTTTCCATATATACCAGTACATGGATTTCATTTTTTTAACATTCGTGGAACGGAAAACCATAATTCAACAAAAAAAAAAAAAATTGAATTTCTGAACTAAAATTACGTATTATCTGGATATTAGGGGATGGTATTCAATAAGGGGTAAATTTAAATAGCCATAAACCTTCTCCGGACAATGCGAAACATTTTTTTAAAAAAAAGGCGTTAAAATCGGTCAAGCTGTTCTTACGTTATGTGATGACCAAGGGGAATAGAGATTCATTTATATATATAGATTTCAAGAAAAAATGGCAAAATAAATATTGTCAGTTGTTTTATTATTGAGCCAATGGGACAATGAATATAATCTCTAACCTCTTCCCTACGTACGCCATTGTTTATCAATTTCCTTTATCATTTCATTACATCGCTTAAGATACACACATTGTATCCGATATGTATGTAGCATTCACACACATATATATATATATATAGCCTGTTATTTCCTTCCTACTCATTCACTGTTTTACACTACTGTCAATTTCTTTTTATATGGTTTTTAATTGTATCCAAACACTTTTTTTTAAAGTACTTATTTGAATATAAATACAAACGCTTGTTAAAAATATTCAAAATATGTTTTTTTTTTTTCAATACATTTGATATGCATTACGATTTGTACATTTAATAAACTACAAATAAACGTGGACTTATTTGATGATATTATTTTTTTTTAATAGGTTCAATAATTTCAGATATTGCATATTATCATATTATTCAATTATACATTATTATCAATTCTTAGAGTCATTATAAAATATTACATGATAAAGAAAATACGTTCAAAACATATTTCGAATATTAAACTTAGAACAAATGTTCGTGACCATTTAGTCGCAGCTACTTGGATGCGGTCAGTTGGACACGAGGAACATTTAGACGTATTCTTTGGTCGCCATCGCCGAAAAAAAGATAATGATTTTATTTTGGTTTTCATATCTTTTTTTATTATATTTAATAGAAAAACGTATAATAATAAACATTAAATTAATAATGTTTGATATAAAAATATAATGTTGAAAAATGAAGACTATTTAAATTTAGTTTAATATTCATAAAAAGAAAAATCGCAATACTTAAATTACATAAAAATATATTATAAAGAAATATGTTGTGTTATGCCACTTTTCTTTTTTTATAACCGTTGATAATTTTTAATATTCATTTTTCTTCATCGACATATTTTTTTTTTATTTTTTAGGAAAGGTTTTTCTTGCTTCTATTTGATAGATCTAATAAAAATCTTAATCAGCTTGAATTTGTCGAAGGTACGAGTATTTATAAAACATCATTAAACATAGAGAATCGGATAAATTGAAACAACACAGGTATTTAGATATTCAGATTTCAAACATTTGTGTATAATTATATAATTTATTTCGTTTGTTTTTTTGTTTTTTTTTTTTTTTTTTTTTTTTTTGCATCCGAATGCACCTCACGTCCGGAAGGCCGCGTCCAATTATCCTAGACCCCTTACTCTAGTTGCCTGAATTTCGATAGAAATTTATAATTATATTAATATATAGGTTTTTGAAATACGAATTTACTCCAAACTGATGTTCCCGATAATATTATTCGCTCGATATAGCCATAAATTTGATATATGTTCAACTTTAATTAAAGTATTAAGTACTCGGCACAACACTGTACCATAATATAATATGTTGATCTTATCGTAATATATTATATATTCTATTGTAATATTATTACCCAACCATAATATAGTAACCACATATGGGCGTATATACGTGTTCACAGGTACATCGCGGTCACGCAGCCGATAAAATACGCTAAACACAAAAACAACCGACGAGTGTGGCTGACAATTGTACTGGTGTGGGCCATCAGCGCGGCGATTGGCAGTCCTATTGTGCTGGGACTGAACAACACACCGGACCGGACGCCAGACCTCTGTCTTTTTTACAACTCGAATTTCATAATTTACTCCTCCCTGTCGTCGTTCTACATACCGTGCATCATCATGGTGTTTCTCTATTGGAACATATTCAAGGTAAGCTATATTTCATATGTACGCGTATATGAGAAAATAGAGCACGTTTTTGACAGATCATAATTCGGAGAGCGATCGAATCGCGTAAATCGAATTTAAATACTCTAAGTAGGTATGAGCGATTCGATATCAAGACACTTCCGATACTTAAGACAGTATCGATTATCGAAAATAACGTAATTTCTTATGTGCAATGTCGACAATATATAATGATTAAACGATAATCACGTCGTCTGTTAAATAAATTAGACAAAATTATATTAGTATTTTATTATGTTATGTGTTTTTGCATCTAAATATTAAACCAAAATTTTTGGTATTGCCCATTTTTATTTTATTTCAAGGTATTAAAATATTATGTAGGTGTTTTTAGTTGTTATGTTGTGAAATTGTTCGTATTGAAAAACTATTCATCGTAGTAAAACATTTCTAAAAAGACAAGAGTTTTTTTTAAAACGGTATTTGAAACTTGACTTTCCGTTACAATATTATATGATATATATTTATACACGTATATAATAATATTGTAATATATAAATCCTTCTTTTCTTCACGTCCAGATTGATACTCAATAAAACGTATGTACTTACGGGTGTGCATAAACACTACATGTCTTCCTTAAAATCCGCCCACACGAGCACCCCGTTACGCCTCGACTAACCTAAATTCTAACTTAACTGTCGAAAGACGAGCCACGACGATATCGGCTAACAATTTCATCCAACGTCTCTTCTTTCCGACGGAGTGAAACGACACAACCCAACCGTCTATTTATTTGACGCCGTCATAATATAATAAAATATATACTTTCGTATAATGGGTACGTACCTATCCTTTTTTCCCCCTTTAAATCGCGTTTTAAGTTTGATCATCTTATTTCGATGGTTTCATAAATACGAGTATATTTACTAATTCGATCTATTTCCATTTTACATTATTTACTTTACTTCCTTGTATCAATCGCTCTATTGAAATTCTAAACTATATATACTCATACGATTGGAATCACATACTCATATAAGACATATAGACGATTATACTTTATTTTCATTATCGTCACCTATTTATGTTACTTATGTTATTACAAAGTGAACGTAGGTACATTTTTTTTTTTTAATACGTTCGTTTCTCTCAAAATTGTCCATATACATTTTATGATACTATAGGAGTATGTTATACAGTTAAAAATGTTATTTTATTTTGAACATTAACGTTACGTATAGGTAACCAATAATAAAAATTATTACTCGTCATTCTAGCTCCCGTTGAATTTAACGTTGCTAATTTATTACTGCCACCGTCACCTTGGTATTTCATGAAGTACGCCCGAACACAGCAATAATATTTAACATTAAACGTACGTCACAATAAGAACACGAATCCCGCACATTCATTCGGTGAGAAAAAAATAACCAGAATAATTCGTTTGCCGTTTTTAAAACAGAAAAAACCATTATCGTTCAGTATAGTTTGTAGCCACCGACGTAGTACATAACATTATTATACTCGATTTACATGATATTTTAATCAAAGCTGTTCCGTAAGATCCCAGCCGATCATCACCACCGGTCCTAATTCCGGAGTACAAAAAAAAAATAAAACATGTGAACATAGTCAGAGCTCGTCCGTTAATAGATGTCTCTAATCCGATTATAATAATAAAGCTTAATCATCATCCGATCTTAGACATTACTTCACTACTATACCTAACGATCTACGGATCGTTAAATATTTTTTGTTCATGAACAAAGTTGTTGTAAGATACAAAAAAAATAACCAAACAAGAAAATTACGCGAACACAAATCGACAATTGAATAAATTATAATGTTGTGATCAGATCCGTATTTACCAAATTTGACTCAAGAGCCCACAAAAAAATTACCGCTCATGATGGTGTCAAATGGAAGTTCAAACCCTAAAATTCAATAAATTTTATTTCTTTAGATACGGCAACTAATTTGTCATTCAATATTGTAACTGAAGACGATTCTTGGTGAATCGTGATTGTTGTTTACTGCAGCCTCATTTGTTAAATATGTTCGCGCATGCCAATGAGTTTCAGAAACCTATATTGTTATTAGGTAATTTATTACTCACAGTTAATACACAAATTCGTTAATATTATATACATAGGATCTATAAACTTGCGTTGATATATTTGGTATCAGAATAAAAATACATAGGTCATTTTTTGGCATTTATAATTTTCAATTTATATCCCTTTATTTTTTGTCTAAATAATACTAATAATAGTCTAAACATGTATATTCTAACACATTATATGTTTTACTAAGTGATCCATTTAAATTGCTACTGCTATATAGTCTATTTTTTTTTTTTTGTAATATAGAATTGAGTCAAAAATATTTCTTAACCATTTCAATATTAAGCACCTCTAAAATATTACATTTATATTATTTTTATGACCCTTATCCATAAATAGAGATTGAGTATTATTTTAGATACGTTTTGATGTCGAAATTTATTACTAATTTGTTAATAGTATTAACTAAACACCTATTATCACTTATTAACCTATTAATAATAACTAATTAGTAATACTAATTAGTATTAACGTCTGTCAACCTGTTAACGAGATATCCTACGGGTAAGGTTGAGTTGGGATGGAGTAGTGGAGCTCTATTCAAACGCTTCGTGTCTCATACAATACAAAAGGTGCTCTACTATATGTCCCCTCAAAGCCAATTTTAAAATTAGAATCTCCTAAGGTATCTTTATAAATAAACGATTTTAAAAGGTTTGACGAAATGGATTTAAAATAAAACATAATCTATTAACGGAATTGCTTGTGCCCGTAGGTCGTTATTACTAATCAAAAGTGGAAATGTCTTCATCAGTAGAGGTAAGGGTTACAAAAAAAAAGAAGAAAACAGTAATTTTATTTTTAAGGCTGCTTGTTTTATTAATTCTCTAAAGAAAAAAAATAACTAAAAATGTAATGCTTTTTGAAATATCAAATGTGGAAGCTTTACATGGATCACTCTGTATATATCAGACACAATAATCGAGTGCAATAATCTCTATAATCGGGAAAAATTTGACAAAAACAAGTCATTTAAAAATCGATAGTAATAGTTAGGGACTAAAAGTTTGTTTTACATTCTGAAGTGATGAATAAACTATTTAAACTTTTACTGTTTATTTATTTAAGTTTTTTTTTTTTACAAAACCATTTGTTCTGTTGGTAAAAATGGTAAATCGTTCATTTCGTACTCAAAAAGATGCCTCTTTTAATACCACTTGCTCCGTTGTTATTAAGGCGGAACATGAGAACAATGATTATTATAATGAATATTATTGTTATTTTCATTTTTTAACTAAACCGTCGAACAATCCGGCAAACAGTCGCCACCAAGTAGTTTTCCTAGTCAAATTATTTCTTAAAAGTTTTAACCGGATTGGGTTATCGTTAATTCGTCTTTTAACGCCAAAATCACTGCAGTGTATTTGAATAAATGGTCTTTATTTTTTTTTTTGATTTTGTTGTCAACATTTCCATTCACGTTCGGGAAGAATGCATATAATATATAGTGTGCAATAATTACATATTCTTTGAATTGAAACGTGTCAGCGAAGATTCGTATAGTCGGTTAAAAAGTTTCAAGTCTGTACGTGTATTAATGACCGAGTTACAGTAAAAAACTACCACAAATTTAAATTCCGTAAAAACTCAAAAGTGGCTCAAGAGTTTTTGCAATGATACCGTAAGAAATTAAATCAAAAAGGCAACAAAATATGTGTCTTCTGGTATTTCGATTAAATCATTTTTTCTGGTAGAAAACGTCATCCGTAATATAAAATAATGAAATCGTGAAATCGTATGTTTTCTTACGTATTTTCCTACTTGTGTGTTTTTATTTAAAAAATGACCTGTCTAAAGTACCATAAAGACAACTCGAGCTTTCAGAAAAGTTGCTACAAGTGAAAATTCGGAGCAAGTTTACTAGGAAAAAAACGTGTCCACAGGCTAGAACAAAGAAAAAATAAAAAAAAATAAACAGCACTGTAAAACCAATAGCTCCGTCGCTACACTTGGAATCTAATAACCGTGGAAATACTTTCGAAAATAATAATACAGGAATAGGTACAAATTAAAAAGGAGTGTTTTGTTTTGTTTTTTTTTTTTTTTTTAATAATGTCTTCGTGATTATTTTAATGTTCAGTTTCACCGCGAGTCACTTATTAAAAAAAAACCCCTCTAAAATTAAATAAATATGGTAATAAAAACTGTTATGAATTTTGCGAATAACAAAATAAATACCGATTAAAGTCGTTATATTATAGTTTATTCTCTTAACGCTATATTTATTTATATTATGACACGAAGTACACTTATTACAAATGTATCAACGGCTCTTGTACAACGTCTGACTAATTTATAATATAAGCGGTTTATATTACTACATTGCGATAATTTTCGGACTGTTTTAATTTATAGAATATTATAACAGTGTTTTGCGAACATAATGCGCCCGGTCGTAATAATTTCTAATTTGTATAGCGTGTTTTATGAAACTATTATACAGTATTTATATGTTTAATTAAACTCGAACGTTTTTATTTTATCATATAAATTATTGTACTTTTCATTTTTTTACTGTATTATAACTGTACTCGTATGTAATACGAGTCGTCCATACTCGTCTACAAATCCTACCGACATCAAAGATCCTATAATTATTTAATATCTAGTTCATGTTCAATTTACCTATGGATTTGCAGTGCGTGTACATCATATTGCTTATAATACGAAATTGTCTCGTAAAATATTAACCATTGCCCCGGGTCCCGTGCTTCTACACTTCCGTGTATTCGGTCACTTTGCGTCATCGCATTAAGTCTTGCTGTGTTTCGTCCATCCGTCGTTTTTCGGCCTCCTTCTTGACCCTTTTCCATCTGGCTTCCATTTCATTGCTTCTCTTTTGACTTATTTAATAGTTTTACTTGACGTATTATCCCAACCACTGAGGTATATTTCCCTTAACATTATTTCTTGTTATGAAAAGGATCTTTGTCATGTTCCTTTGCTATCACCTTCCAGAAGTTAAATCTATTATCGAAAACTGACCTTCAAATATTATTCCCAATGCCTTATTTCAACACCTTATACGCATCTGTTTATGGCCGTAATTGGCACCTATTACTAAATAATATATTAAAGCTGTAAAATATTGTACTATATTCAAATAAGACTATTTATAAATGATTGATAGATTTTAATAAAAAACACTATTTTTCCAATGTAACATAATAACATATCTATTTTTTATGGTATTACAGTCATTGATCGTCGAGTCATCTGGCTGGACTCATCGGTACATTATTATATAGCCAAATACAAATATATGTAGTCGATTTTAATAAACAAGATAATTAGTTATAAGGTATATTATGCATATTTATAGTATACAAATTTTCAAATTTAAATGAGAAAACAATTTTTAACAGTGTAAACTTAATGGCTAATTACCATTTTGTTCATCGTTTATGTTCAATTTATTCAAAAACATTTAAATTTGTGTTTATATTTAACACCTAAATTTAATTTTGAAGTTTATTATGCCATAAATATTAAAACAAAAAATTAATGAAAGAATTTGACACCCAGACCTCCTCCAAGACTAAACTACTGTGTGTAAAAAAAAAAAAATTACGTTTGAAGTATTCTGTCTGACGAACTGCTATAAATCGATGGTTTATTGTTTTTCATTTATTTAAAACTACAACGTTATAATCTCGGTTTCCATCAATATGTATAATAATATTGTTATCGTGTTATGGTATACATTATTGTAAAACATTCGGAGGCGGAATCGTAATAAACAATATTATTAAGTCTGTCGTGGTTCGAAAAAAAAAAAAAAAATATATTTATAAATGAATATACATGTATAATAATAGATAATGTTAAAACGCCAGTGTACACTGTTGTACTCGTATATAACAAACGACCATCGCCGGTCTAGAGCTTTTAGCAAAATTGAACACGCGACTGTATACTATACAATACGGTTTTAATAGTACGTTGCTGTGACTGTCTTCGACTCCTTTTGCAGTACGACCAACGAGATTTCACGTGCACGTGATTTCGTTTAAGACTAATTATTGTTCCATAATTAACACTAGGCGATAGTGGCAGTCGGCCGAGTTTCAAAAGGCGGTACACGAACTGAAAGTTTCTTTGAAAGTGTCCATATATAATATAATAATAATATACAGGGCGAATTTTTTTCTCGCACAACCCACATGATACATCGTTTATTTACTAAGATTTTACAAATATGTAAATTTATTTCGGTATTTACCGCATACAAAACCGTTTAGTGATGAACTAGAATTTATAATATTTTAGCCTCTGAACGAAATGTATTTAGCATAGTAGCAGTGTATTAGTTTAAAATAACTTATTAAAAGAAAATCAATCAATTTTAACGTTTCATAACTGTATACTGCCCAATGGGTAATTTATTAAAATTTTGTAAAGTTTCGTCCTTTCGGATAAAATAATTTACCATCTCGAAATTATTCAAATTCACTTACAAATGATCTCACAACAAAAATATTACAAGGCTTTATATTAAAATATTTCGTGAAATTTGTTCTTAAAAGAACCATGTTCCTGTAGAAAAACCGCGAGAGGTGACTTCATTGTTTTATTTATAAAATAAACCGTTATACATAGTACATACATAATATTATAATATGTAGTGTGATGAAACAATTATAAGACAATATTTCTACAGTCACCACAATAATGTGTCTTTTGCATTATTACCTACAATATAGAGGTCGTTATCATCACGAAAACAAAATGAAAAACGCTCGCAAGCAGCAGGGCTTTATGACTAGAATAGAAATTTCCTACATCCGACTAATTTCCATTATAATATTCCAATTTTTATTTTTTAGATTCTGAGCGTAGTGAGTTTTATTAATAATTGATCGACGCAGTTTAATCAAATATTTTTTATATATTCATATATACTTATTTCCTATTTTATCCGATTTGTTTCGATAGTTTACATATATTTATCTTCTTTAATCACATCGATCCACCTTTCCCATTTTATTTTCTACAAGACCTCTATTTCATCTATTTCAGATATAAAACGAATCGTGTAACGTTCCAGCAATAGTAGGAAATTGTGCAAATTAAGTTTTGTCCAAATAGGAACACTATAGTTTACGTGATTTTTGTTTTCACAGAAATAGACTGCGCGGGTGAGAGTCTGAAGTTACATTATTTATTTAACTTTACCTGGCATTTAATGTGGTTTAAATATAAATTATATTTATTACTATAATCTTTTCTTCATTTCATAATTACTTTTTGTTGTAAACCCTTCTTCATATTATTCCATAAATGTATATAATTAGTAGGTATTTTGATATTTCATTCGTTGTTCAAATTTTCAACGCGTTATTATCTCATTGATTTTATATACATTGTTCCATTTATTAGTAAACGTGCTTCAAAATAGTTTTTTCTCACTAAATATATGTATACAATATTTGACTAGGGGGATTTAAAGGAACTTTGTAGCCATTTGTTGTGATACTACATATTTTAACAATGAGATACTAAAAGGTGTACGCGTATGTGTATTATTGAAACAACATCAAAGAAAAATATTTTTTATTTATATATTTATTTACAATTAATAACCATTTTAATAATTTTGTTTTCATTTTATTATTTATTAACACAAAATGTATTATATATAATGTATTATATTACATAAGTCGACATTTTATGTTTATAATTTTGTTTTAAGAAATATTTTCGAAGAAAAACAGACGAAATAATTTCAAAAATTACATTAAAAAAAAAATCACGACTCATGATGGTTGAAAGCTAGATTCATACGATTTCCCATACATAACCATTACTTTTTTATAGTTTGGAACAAAATTTAAGGTTTGCCCATTTAAAGTTGCAAATTATAATCTGTATCTTTGAGGACTACCCTGATATATAATATTATAAAGGGTAATCAGCATAATTAAAGACGCATATTTTCTCCGAAAATATTAACATTTTTCAACATTTATTTTTAAGGTCATTTAAGAATTAGGTTGCTTTAAAATGGTAAAATTTCGGGTATCTTTGTCACCTTTATTTTAAGGGGTGAAACCACGTCCTACCCTTGATTTTCAAATAGCAACCTATACTTGTGGAAAATAGATAGACAAATAGGTGGTGTAATAGTTTAAATGCATTTTGGTGTTGACATTATCGATTTCCGTCAATCCGTTGACGAGATATTACGCTTTTAAGTTTGGGTTGAAAGGAGAGTAGTGGAATCCTATTACAACGCCCCGTTCCGTGCCGTCAGACAAATGGTATACCACTACTCTCCACCCACCAAATCTTAAAAGTGCTATACCTTATCAATGAACCGACGGAAATTAAAAATTGATTTAAAATAATATTCCATATATTTATGGAATTTTTAATATAAGTTTACATTTAAAAATCAAATGTCGGGAGTGATTTACTCTCTAAAATAAGTGTGACAAAAACAACAATCTCTGAACAATCAGAAACTATCAAACAATTTATCACCATCCCTCTACCTATGTCATTATGTTAGCATAATGTGCTCAGCATTACCCTCTGAACACATCTCGCCAAATGAAATATTATTTTTAATTAGAAAATTCAAAAATGGGAAGTCTCCAGGTTATGGTCTAATAATAATAATTATTTTATTCTATTTTAGCAGTATTAATGTTTACAATATTGTTGCATAATATATTAGTACTGCACCGAGTTTATTACTAAAAGGATACAATCTTTGTGTTAATAAACACGAGTAATCACCAGCAAAATCCTCAAAAATATTCCTTACAAACTCATTTTACTAATTATTTACATCTTCAACGCTATGCTAACACTTCCATATTTCTCATTAATATAAAAATGTCAAATATAGTACTTATACCAATACCAAATAAACCGAAAATTCTAGTTATCTCCTACAGACCAATGAAATTACTTCCAACTCTAGCTAAGCTGCTCGAAAAAATAATACTCAAATGAATGAAACCTATAAAGCAAACTCAAAAATTTATTCGACACTTCCAATTTGTTTTCAAAGCAAAACTCCCTATTGTTCACCAGATTCATAAATTGAAAGACAAAGTATTATCTTTTTTTGAAATAAAGCAATTTTGTCCAGGTGTTTTCCTGGACATAACGCAAGCTTTCGATGAAGTGTAACATGTAAGCCTATTATACAAACTCAAAATATTTTTACTTGTACCATATTATCTAATTATTCGCTTATATCTCGAAAACAATCCTTTATAATTCATTATGGAAGCTCGTACTCACCATAATTTTGCATTAAAGCTGGTGTACCCCAAGATGACCTCTTTCCTGATCTTTTTAATTAATACGGCTAACATAGCTGTTACAAAAAACACCACCATGGCTACCTACGCAGACGAAACCGCAATACTTTGTGCTAATCATAACCCCAATGAAACATCTAACCTTCTACAAATTCAATTATACTCCATTGAAAACTGGGCAACCGTGTGGTGAACAAAAATAAATCTAGACAAATCCATAAGGTACTATTTACTTTAAAAAAAACAGACTCTTTACCTGTTTACTTTCAAGGTATTCAAATTCCATCATCTTCTGTTTTCAAATACCTCGGCATTACGCTCGATAACAGATTAACCTGAGGCGCCCACAACGAAATCATAAGAAAAATCCTCAACAAACTACATCTACCCCGTCTAGTTTTAAAATCTAAACTTCCAGTCCACACCAAACGTTTTATGTATAAATCTCTTTTACAACTGATCTGGGCATATGCGATCCAAATTTGAGGATAGGGTAAGCCGTCCCAAAATTCGAAATATACAAGCATTCCAGCAATTACCCTCTGTATGATAACATCCACACCTTGGTTTGTATCGAACTCCACACTACACTCTGAGCTAAAAATCGAATCAGTCGAACAGTTAGCTACCAAACACTACAAATCTTTCTATTCCAAACTACCTTCTTATACAAATCCATGAATGTCGCAAATCTCATCCATTACTTAGCACTTAAATTCCACCCATCAACTCAAGAGAAAATATTGCAGAGACTCGCTAACCTAAAATAACATTATTATGTTGGGTTCCATCACTGGCTGGCCTCTACTCCTCATATTATTCATAGTTATTATGTAAATCAATTATTATATTTTCCTATTGTGCTATTCTAACACAGATTGTAAATATTTTTATTTATTAAAAAAGAATAAAAATAAAAATATTTTAGAGCTATTATTGTTTTTTAAATGATCTAAAACACAAATTCCGAAAAACGTTAATACTTTCCGAGATAACGAGAATCAAAGTTATATTAATCACCCTGTATACCTGCAACCCGTTAGTTCCGGCCTCGTAAATTCGAACAATGCCAAACGAATAAAAATTAATAATCGAATTTCTCGTAAAATCGTACTAACTATAAGTACACGCCGTGCGTATAATACTGAAATGAAATTATTGTTTTAGTAATGAATATAATATGTATTGTAAAACACTATTTTATCATCAAAGTTTTTAACTAAACTTTAAACTACATGGGGTTTTTGCAACTATCACTGTAGCTATCTCAACATTTCAATTAGTCTACCGCCGCTGTCGTCATTTGCAATAAAATAATAATATGATATTATCTATAGTGATTGAAATAATAATATTTTACTCAAAGCGCGTATTAAATAAATTGTTTTAACCCTTTTACGTCGAAAGCACCGCGCGTTTTAGTTCGCAAACTATTAACTGTCGATTTATCAGCAGCGACATTTATATATTTTGAGCCCGACAGTAGTATTATCAATGTATATATTTTGAGTATAGCGAAAACTGTATATTGCTTCTTCTATGGAGTATTTTTTTATTTTTTTTTTAAAACACGCTTTTTACCAGAAATCTTGCTCCGATTATTAAATCAGTCTTTTTTGACCTTGTATTTATTTTAATGAATAGGATAACACAGCATTATAATAATTATGTTGTTCCTTTTTATTTTCATGTTTTAGTTATAATTACTTGGCTTCGCCACTTGAGTATTAATTATGAATTGATAATTTGAGGAGAGAGCGAATTTTTCTGTTTAGACTTTCGAGCAGGCCTAGACATCCCAAGCCCACCACAATTTCCGTCAATGATTGACAACATGTACAAAGAAGAAAAAGAAATACGACTGATAATACCCTGCTCAGAATCGCCTTTCTTTAGTAATGGACAATGGTTTATCGTTGCATACAATATAAATGTAATTAATCTCTCTCTCTATCTATAAATAAATATATTTTCCCTTCCAACTTTTCTCTCGAAACAGTGGTAAACCCATCAGCAATGTGTGGAACTTTTTCAAAGTTATTGCTGCGGAAGAGAAATAAAATTAGTACGCAAACAAGTGAACGAGTATGAATTCGAATTTTAGAGCGAAATGACATCGACATTATCCGAGGGTTTAAAATCATTGCGTTACTCGGCATTATCACTGCACGTGGTAGCAACGGTCTCACTGGTGCAGCTTTTTACAAAGAGTATTTTTATTTTTTTATTTTTTGCAAAAAGTTTCCTAAGATGTATATATCATTACTAATCGGTGTACACGCAACATTTGTTGACGTATACACCACGATATATTAACAAGAGTAGACGTGAGCGGTGGCGACGGCGGCGTCGGCGGTTGTGGTGTCGATAAGAAACGGTGGCAGACGAGATTGGGTTGTATAAAAGCTCATGAATGCATAATGCGAAACGATGGTATGGCGTGTATGTATATATATATATATATATAAAAAAAAAAACACAGTCCAATTCACTCCGATATCGTATTCGATAGAAGAACGCGAGAAAAAAAGAAGTAGCTATCGAATTCCCGTACTGTGATTCTCCATCAGTTTTGCAGTTTCCACGACCGCGAGTCATCGTTTTATCCGGAATTTGATGTTCACTTTAATTTAATTTGACAACATCGTTTATTTATTATAATTATTTTTGAAGTTCAAATTTATCGAAGCTCTATAAAACATTAAAAAAAAACCGCTAAAACTCCTAAACAAAATCATGGAATTCTTTTAAAAAATAAAACCGCCCACGAAATCATTATAATAACTAAAAACGATCGCATTACTTGGATATTAATAATAATTAAAAGTTGCTATACAAATATAATTTCAATTAATTTTACGAAGTTTTATATATTATACGAACCAAAGTAATGGTAAATGGAGGGGTAATACTCTCCCAATTTCAAAATTAAAGTTAAGTTCAATCTAATTCAAAATCCACCACTAAAAATCTATATAAATGATAGTCAGAACCTCCTCCCAGAAATAATCTATACATTCACTTTTGATATTAAACGAATTTAAATCTTACGTAGATTAACCTAACCTCACCTACAATAACGACAAAATATAATAAAACAAAAATGATTACCTACAATATTCAAACTATACATTTGTGTGCAATTAATAGTACAATTATTACCATAAAAAATACAACTATGACGTCTATAACCGTTTTGAACAACAAAAGAGCTGAGTAGTGGATACAGTTCTTACGAAAACTGATAATATAGGATTTTAGAAATAAATTCAAATCATGGATAATGACATTTAATAGCAACATCAATAATAATATTTCGTCTGCATATTCATTTTAATTTTTACTGACATTGGAACTCGAATCGGAAAAATAAACTCGCTATCTGTTATGTGAAACCACGTTGTAGGTAACAAGATCAAAAAGGCTAAAATCAAAAACCACTAAATCATAATATTTACTACGGATTGATCTAGGAATTTTAATCTTTACAATAAACATCGGTTTGCTTGTTGATATTTAACTTGAAATGTGAATCATGTTGTTTGTTATTGTGTATATAGTTGAAGTAGGTCCTATATTTTTATCTATTAAAAACTAACTATGCTTTGTGATGGAATTATGTAACCTCTCGACACACTATCGAAATATGCAATATACTCGTTGACTTGTTATACTAGAATTGAAAAAGCCTGAACTAAACCACCTGACTACTATTAGTATATCATTTTGTCAATCCCAGATTAAGAGATGTTAGGTAAAAGTGTCTTATTTTTTAATTAATTCTGTGAGAAAAAGGCGGGGGGTGGATAATTTGTAAAACAAACTTCATGTTGGCGCCTCTTACATCCTCTCTACAGTTGTACAATTAAGATTCAAATTCAGCGAAAAAGCTATTAGTTTTATAAATTTTTTTTTTTTACATGGAAAATACATCTTTGATTAATAAAAATGTTTTAATTTTACCATACTAAACCTCAAAATATGCGAATATTTTACCTCTAGTGAATAATTGTAGAAAAAAATATCCAAATGATTTAATTATTCATTTAATTTTTCAAATCATATGTTGTAAGTAAATTTTTTTACAAAGTACTTAGATACCCGGGAGTTTGGTAGAAAGTTTGGCCAAGGAAACTATAAGAAAATAAACTATCATTGCATAATAATAAAAATAAATATTAGCGGTGATTCTTATTATTTTAATATCAGTGAATATTGATGATTAATCTTACTATTTTAATAAACATAAATAATAATAACAATAAAAAGAAAAAGGAAAGACATACTTTGCAAGTGGGTGCAGCCACTGTTGTAGATGGGAAGTTGTAAAGGTAGAGGATACATACGGGAATTTAATTTACATCTCTAAACAACGATAAACCATTGCCAATGAAAAAACGATTCTAAGCGGAGTTCAGTCGATAGTGATGTTTTATCAACAGTATATATGTCATATTATGGTAACATGATTACAACAATGTACATTTTCATAACAACAGTGATTGTTTGAAAAAGATTAATAAAATAATAAAAACTTAATAATAACAAAAATTTAATAAAAACAGTTGATATTGACAACCTTTTATTTAATATTTGAATCTTTTTTAACCTATGTATCTCGGTTTTCCTCATTTTCTCGAATATTAATAAGAATTTCAAAAAATTAAATTTCTAAAGTACCACCCAGAGAATAATATTTCTCTCAGTAAAGGTGCTATACTTGATAATCGGAGTAAGCTTCCTGGTAGAAAAAGTGTTGCCATAAAAAAAAAAATTATACATAAAATAAACATCTTTGTAAAACTAATACATTTTTCGCTCAACTTAGAATCTAAAATGAAAATTATAACTCGAGAATTAAGCAATGATTAAAATAAACACGTTTCTCTTAAAAAAAAAAAAAGACAACTGGTTCCAACTAGTTATACAATAAGATTCACAATTTTAAAATAAAGTCTATGAAGAACATATCCTGATCATCCCTTTCATAACTACGCCACTGTTTGGTGAAGTCAATTTCATCGCCCCAAATTTCGTTCCATTGTATATTTCATATTCTAAGCGTAATAAAGGATCTCATACGGGGAAGTTTATGGAAATAATGGTTTCATTATTTACATTTTTTTATTTTTATTTTTTTTTTTTGCAATTCAATTAAAAATATTCTTAGTGACTTAAAATTCGGACAGAAAATTTTTGTTTTACTTTTCATGTATAAACGGAATTCGGTCACAATCGTATTTTATTAGCAATGGGTTATCGTTGCTGACAAAAATAAAATAAAAACTTTATGAGTATGTATACTACCTTCCTAATGTCCCGCGTAAAACAATATTGCACCCATTATCACTATTAGGCTTTTTTTTTTATTCTATCCATTTAATTATTTTAACTAAATATTACAATATGTTTTGATATTTCTTTATTTTTTAGTTAAAAACTAATAAATTTTTTTTTTCATTAACCGATGATAATTCATAGTGAAAAATGCCAAAAATACTTGTCGTTATAAAAATATATATGTATGTGTGTACACATACACAATACACGTGGCTTTTGAATTGAGGTCTCTAATACTTATTGTTTTTCTTTTGTCAAAACGTATCAAGTTATAACACTTTTTTTTTATTTTTTTTTTATTGAGGGCGTCATTGAATAATCAAGCCCTGGCGCCTTTAAATATCTCCTGATTAGAGCTTGACTCCTATAATTCAACTTAAGTGATTTCATGATTTGTACGTTTAAAACGACATAGAGGATAAATAATGACCGACCAGTATATTACGTACGTAGGTATACGTAGTTTAGTTTAATTATCGAAAACGATTATTATTTGTCTGGCCATTATCTTGTGTCAACACGTGTCCCATCGGCTCTTCGTGTATTCCGTCGTCTAGCAGAAATCTGTGTAGCGTAGTACGACATTAATTATTCGACAATCGACTAGAAGGTACTATCTACCTACCTACCTACTAAATTAAATTAGTATTGTTTGTACGTTTTCCAAAATGAAATTCGCGGGGCGGAGTTCATGAAAAACATATTCACCGCAAACTTTATAAAGGGCGAAAACACACAATCATAATAACAACAGTATATAGAAAACAACATTACATCCCTTCGTAGCTGGTCGTTAGCCAATCCGTACCGTCGTTGTAGTTTCAATGAGATTCGCCAAGCATACCAAAACGTCATCGAAACGGATTCTCTATGTAAAGTAGAGGTCCTTAGAATGCTCCATTTTGAGTTTGAGGTCCTAACCCAGGGTATTTATTAGTGTTTTTTTTAGTGTACAATCCCTTAATGAGTTATTAACTCATAGGGGGTACTGGGAACATACTTGCTCTCCACACTTAGAATATCTGGTTCAAATACGTCTCATCAATTTATGGTTCGTAAGTGTATTTAATCCAAAAAATTGTGCTTTATTTTTTTAAACAAATATGCATCCAGTTTATATTTTAATTGCATAATATTTTTTTGGTATTAGTCTATATATAAAAAATGGCGTATAAGTGGATAGTTATTTCATTTAAAATAATATATAGACACATTTAATAGTTTAGGCTCAAGTTCTTTTGATTTTTTTTTATAATTTTTGTTGGGGCTAGGCATTAAGTCTATTAAGTTTTTGAATAACTAAGTTAAAAGTTAGGTTAATTTAAACCTTTTAACTTAACTTAATTATTTTCTAATTGAATTAAATTAACTTAAACTTAACTCATTTGTCTTTATATTAACTTAAAATCGTCCCAAATGTTTTGTATTATTCCAAGTTAAGTCAATTTAAAGTGTTCATACTTTCCAGAAAATATTTTGTTTTACCGTTGTCCGCTAGGTTCGTAGATTTAAATAAAACTAGAATATGGAAAATCATCAAACATTATGTAAACAATTAATAATATTAACTATAATTATAATAAAATAATATATATTTAGTGTTTATGAAGAATTTAATTTTTATTTTTACAGATAAGACTAAATTTATCATAATAATAAAAACATAAATAGCCATTGATTATAGTCATAATACTTACTTAGGTATGTCTTGGGTACTATTTATCTATTAAAATCTGTTTAGAAATTTTGTATAAAAGTTTCTAACGAATAGGTAGTTTTTGTATATCTTTGATAAAGTTATTTATTTTATAATGAATAAATCATTAATATTAAACAATACAGTAAAAACGCGTATATTCAAATTTAAATTTAAGTGATCCTTGGGTCTGAATTCTGAGTTCTATAATTGCTACAACTCCGTACGTTTAAAATATATCTAATATATAGGTAATATTTCATATTTGAATTCACTTTCATTTGGTACTTTAATTTTGAACACTTAATAAATGTTTTTTTTTAAATTTTAACGTTACTTAAAACTTGAAAGTTTCAAGTTTGTGAAAAAATAATTATTTAACTTAACTTAATCAAATTAAAAAATATCATTACCATGCCCAGCCTTGATTTTTGTTGATCTCCTCTATCAAGGCAATAACTGAAAACTTACTACTAAAGTACTCATAATGGTTTTTTTTTCATTTTCAAAGATTTGTCATGATACATGTAATATGTTTATTTTTATTTACACAGATGTAACACCATCGAATCTTATTTCTTGGAAAAAAAATGTCAATTTAGGGAACTACGATTATAGTTGAATAAGGCAATTTGTGTGTATTTATTTTTTTTTAATGGTTTAAATTAAAGTTGTACACAAAGTGGCAGAAAATTAGGTATATCATTAGAATATAAGGGATAAAAAAAAGTCCTATAGTTGATAAGAAGAAAACCAATATTGACAAAGTAATGAACTGTGAAATGCGAAAAGTTCGACAAATATAATTTTACAAGGATTATTCTGGTAATGATTTATAAACATTATGTTAGTTTTTACGTTTCATAGCTAAAAACTTTATCAAAACTTAATCTATTATTTTTTTCATAATCAAGTATTAATCCTTATTTGTTACTTATTATATTCAGATGGTTTTTTGATCAGTGATGATTTAAAAACCGAAAAAAATAATTATATATCAATAACTGGAATTTTTTGTAATGAAATCACAGTCGATTTATCATTGGTCGGTATCATTGTGCAAATGTAATTGCTATTATTTGCTTATTATTATGTACTAATTTTTGGCTCTAGTTTGGGGGGATCGATAGGGTAAACAGGTTGGCCTACCTAAACTTGTCCCATCTAAATGAAATTTGGTTTTAAAAATCGTAAAAATTATTTTCTAATTTAAGGAATTACACTTCGATAGCTTGGAACAAAATTTAAAGGTGACCCGATGAAAATTTATAAAATTCACCTCTAAGTATAGTACAGTATACACAGTACACACACATAAAATTGTATATTATTTTGTAATGTTAGAAATACTTAAATAACATTGACCCAGCCGTAGAATAAAAGATGAAAGGTGACCATAAAAGTAGTGCAGAATAACATAAATATGTAGGTGCAAATTTTTAAATATATGTATATATATATATTAATAATAGAACTATAGTAGGGTGACCTTTTTATGCTTTGATAAATCGTTGCTGTGGAAATATTGTCAGGTATCATCATGTATAAAAAATATTTAATTAAATAATTACATATTTTTTATACATGTTGGTTTATAAACATAAAAATTATTTCGACATTATAATAATAAAAATAATATGTCTGTAAAACCTAATATACGATTGCTTATTTACAATTTCAATACGGGTAGAGATATTTATTTCATACTGTATAACATATACCCGAGCTAAATGAAAAGATAACTTTTAAATTTATTAATTTGTTTATAGGTAGTTATAGTTTAATTTAATATCCTATTCAAATTCATAATTATTATCAATGAAATAAAACAACTAAAAACTAATCTAACCTATCCTTTCTTATTATAATCATTGAAATCGGTTTAATTTTAAATAATAAAAAGTATGCGTTAAAGTTTTTTTGTTATATTATCTATAACTATCAATAAGTTTAATTGTTGATTTCTCTAAATAAAAATTAAAGCGATTTAAATTTAAACAAGTTCACTTTGCGATCGTACGAACTTCAATGTTACTGGACGTGTTTTAAACAGTTAACTATAATTTCATAATATGCTTTCAATTTTTAAAGAACTTGGAAATATAGTTTATTAGGTGTATAGGAACTTAAATTAATAAGATATCATATTATAAAGTTCTGTAGTTTGTAGTTGACGAGGAATTTTTTAAATTTTTTAAATACATACATTATTTTAGTACTTATAATTTTAAATATTATGCATTCATATAAAAACTAACAATTATAATAGTATATAATAAACAATAACCATATACCATACAAGAACAATTTTATGAAATTATTTCTAAATAAATAATAATAATATTCCTCCCTGTCAACCAAATCAACAATATTAATTTTGTATTAGGTAGACATAGTTACTAGTAATATTGCACATGAACAGACGGACACAACGAACATATAGTATTAGGGTTCTAAACGTAATTTAAAAATCTAAAATAAGCAGTAATAGTAATAAGAGATACTAAGAAAATATAAAAGGGGGGAGACAAACCTCCGTAATCTATTTTCATAAATACGTTACTCCTAGGACATAAAATATATGCCAAACATTCTACCAAAATATGTACGTATATTTTTTTTTTTTTTTTTTGGTTTATTCCTGGCCTTCTAGACCCATCGCCAAACCTCTCTATGCTTACCTATCTTTATTCAATTGTTTTCCATCTCTTATTCCCAGTAGATTGTGATCTTTCTTGACTAGATAAATCTACCGCTGTCCTATCGGTATTTTTATTTGGTTTTTATATTATGGTTTCTCGTAATGTTTGGCCCTCGTATCCACCCCGAGCCCATCTTTCTTCTTTTCTGAATTCCTACTATGTCTGGGCCATTGAATGGTGTTCAGGCCTATAGTTTTTCTTCGTCCGCATACATTCATGCGTAAGCTTTGATTGAATGAATTGAAATCGACTGTGTCCGATGTTCCGGAGTTATGATGGATCAACCTAAGAAATTCGTATTCGAACTACCTCTAAACTCTGTGTACATGCATCGCCAGACTCATTAACTCAATGATCATGTAGTTGGCTTGCATTACGCGTATGCAGACAGACAGTTCTACGTCTCATTGGTTTTTCCCAAAGAAATAAACGACGAACTGGCACACACTAAATTACCTCGACATTGCGACACATCAAATATAATGAATATTACGGGTTTGAATGCACTAACAATATTATCACCACTAATAACACATTTTAAAAGTATTACTTTCATTTCAGTCCTTTTTCGCAAAATACTAATATGTATATTATATTTTATACAAAAAAGACAATTATTTAGAATTGAATGGTTTACCTGTAAGTCTACTATATAAAATATTTGCTATTTATTTTTCATTAAAGTAGTTTTCTTTACTTAGTGAGAAATTTAACAATCGTAAAATCATAGCATATGACTTAAAAGTCAATCATCTAAAAAAATAAAAATAAAATATAGGCCAAAATCCATTAATTATTTAGGACCTTAATTATTAAAGGTACCTTTAATTTAAATGTAAAAAAAATACATAAGAACTAATACTAAAATTAATGTTAATTGTTATATAAGTCAAACATTATTATGTGATCTATAAAATATTTGTAAACTGTATGTTATATGTATATAATTAGACACAATAATGTTCTTTTATTTTTTAGCTTTGTTCTTGTTATATTTGTTTACATATCATATGAGATGTAAAAAATATTGGTAAATTTAACTAAATTACCATAATAACTCTCTACCTCCCAATTCGAGCTTTGCTTATAAGAGGTACATAAACCATAATTATATGTATACTGTACGATTCTAAATGTTAACAAGATGTTGTTTTAAATTTAAAAAAAAAATGTATATATATATATATATATATATATTTAAACAAATCGTTGTTGTTATGGAAACATGTGAGAGCAGAACTGAACGTAACATTTATTTTATTAATATTTTCATACAATAATACCATCTAAACTTTCGACTTTTCTGGTGGATTTTTCAAAAATTATCTTTTCCTGATAATAATTAAGGACCTCCAAAAAACCAACTATATCGGTCGTGATGATCTCGCATATGTGCAGCAATTGATTTTTATTTATAAAAATAATTTTTTGACTCATTTACTATCGAACGAACTTATCTTAAGCCATCAAAATAATGTTTTTATGTTAGAAAATATATAACAATAATTATAGCGATACAGATGTATACCAACTTCACAGAAAATTGTATGCGTGAAAGCCGCGTCAAAATAAATAATGGTTTACTGTAGAACAATTTTATTACTAAATACGTATATAGAATAATACCTAAAACAATATTGTACAATAATCAAGAAAATTAAATAATTACATATTTATGAAGGACTCGCTTTACAAAAAAAAAAAATGTTAGTTTAATTTTTTGCCTTATACAGCTCTATCAGTCTATTAAATATATTAGAATGACGGGTTTCGCACAGCACTGCTACTGGACAGGAAGAGTCTAAATTGTGTACGGTTCTCACGGCAAGAATCTAGACGAATGGTTTTATAAGCCCGCAGTGGCACTGAGCTCAGTAAAAACTAATTGTATACCTAAGGTCTTATACCCCGTAGTAGTGATACGTTTCGCTCAAATAGCAACACAAGATATTTCAGCCAAATGGACTTGGATTGGAGTGGGTTTTTTTTTTTTTTTTTTTTTACAAAACTGAGGTCCTAAGACACACGTTACGAGCCCGTTTTTGATATAAATTTTAACCGACGGTGTACGCGTGTATGGTAAAAATTGCATTATTATTTGCATTAAACGTAAATCAACTAAACGGCTTTAAATGGAAATATTTTTATTTTTATTTTACGAGTATAATACGCAACAAAAGTTTCCCGGTGTTTTTCATTTTACGCGAAGTAGTTAACTGCCTATCGGTCACACGAATCAAAACACCTATTATAAGTACTCGGAAAGCATATTATTGTCATAGTTAACGTCTACCACGTGCAAATATCCGGTCCTTGATAATAATAATTTATGCACGTTGACCGCCGTTCACGGTCACCGAGTGCCCGACGACCTTTTCGGATACGCGCCGCAGCCGCAAACGGGTTCCTCTGTATCTATGCGCATTAACACTCGGCACAATAATATTGTCTTTATAACAGTATATTACATATTCTCTGTATATATATATATATATTTGCGTATGGCCGGTGCGTTCAACGTATTTGCCTGTACTTACTCGGCTCATGTATATATTACGTAGGGTGTATTATGTATAGCATGCTCGGTGTGTGTGTGTGTGTATGAATATACGGAGTAAAGGCCTTATTAGGTCGTACATGCGCTCGACCTCTTTATTTAATACCTACCTATGTGGTACCTTTGTGCCGAGACGCGATTCGCGCGAACTTTCCGTATGCTGTGGCGATGTGTGCGAGAGAAGGGGAGTCGCACCGGAGTCGTATGTAATGCCGGTTATAATTATTATTATTATTATACCGCTCGGAAATAGTGAGTTTTCAAAATATCTCTGAAAAAAAAAAACACCGTCCGGCTACCCGTATTTTATACCGCTACCCACGCTAAGTTTATTAGGTAGTTGCTCGGATATACTTAAAAGCGAAAGCGAAATTAAGGGTATTTCGTAAAATAAAAATAATTATTTATCACGTCCGATCACGAATCGTAGTCGTCGAAAACCGTACATATGAATACAATTTTAATATTCAAAGAGAACTGAAACAAAATAACAACAAAAAAAAAAAGAACTGATACTGGGGATGAAAGCGGCCACTGTTGTAGGTAAGATGTTGGAAAGGTAGGATACATAAGGTTGTTTCATCTTTATCTGTGAGCAACGATAAACCATTGATTGACGAAGGACGATACCGAGCGCAGTTCGGTAACATCATTTGAAGTGCCATAATTTTTTTTTTTTTTTGTGATTTTCATTTAAATTTGATTTCAAAATGCTTATTAAAAAAAGGTAAAAAAGTCGCCTGACGATTTTGTAAATTTTACCGCGTCTAGGTAATTCCAATACAATTATTATTACTAAGTTTCAAGTCTCTACGAGTATTTATAGACGAATTACAGAAAAATCTCCTAAAAATTAAAATTCCTTAAAAACTCAAAAGTGGTTTTAAAGTTTTGGCGATGATACCGTAAGAAAGTAAATCAAAAAGGCAAAAAAATAAAGGTATCTTGGGATTTTTCGATTAAATCATTTTTCTCTGATACAATACGTGGCCCGTGTTTTTATAAAATAAAGAAAACGTGAAATTTTTTATTTTCACACTTAAATGCTTTTATTTAAAAAATGTCTGTTTAAAGTACCATCTAGATAATTTGTACATTCAGAAAAGTTGCTACACCTAAAATCGGAACAAGTTTACATGAAAAAACCTTGTTCACAGATTAGAACACTCAAGAAGAAATAATAACATTGTAAAACCAATAGCTCCCTCGCTACATTCGGAATCAAAATTCAGTGAAGACAATTTGAAAGTAATCATTTTCAAAAGTATTGCTGTTATAATATTATCTATGTGAAATATGTTGATAAAATAAAAAAGTAAAAAAACAAGTTGTGCCAGGATAATTAAGAAGATGTTCATCCACTGTTGGATGAAATTTAATACATATTTTCGTAACCAACGATTAACCATTGCTAACGAAAAAACGATTCTGAGTTTGGTTGACACATGCGTTATATGTATTCTTTAATAATATTTGTTCAATATTATACCTTTTTTCCCGTTTTCCCTACGTTTTTCCCGATTTTTCCTATTTATTGGGAAAACTGTTGAAAATCAAAAAAATTACCTCTCTAAGGAACCTCCACTCTCAGATTTCCTTTTAAAAAACTGCACTATAAGTAAGAGGATTTGAAATTTCTTAAACATCAACGGTCATTCACCGATCGCGAAACAGTAAAAGTTGACGTAACGTACGAGTACGGGAAAAGAATTTGAGTAACCGTTAACCAATAAACCAAACCTCCCGGTAACCACAAACCGTGATATCACAGTTTTCGGTTCGAGATAAATCGCCGCGATTGTGATATTATGAATTTTTCCAAGGCGATATTAAAATCATGTATCTGTTCATTTTTTTTTTTTTTCAACGGTAATCTTTTCATTGATATTAGATTATCATAATTATAACTATTATACGGGTAATGCCACGTTCGAGAATCGCGCGGTATTGAAATTCTCAACAAATCGACATTTCAAAGTATAGTATCGCCTTATTTTATTCTTTTTTCTCCCCGAATAAACGAGGATATAAGCACTGTTGTAAAGACAGCGCCCCACGCGTAGCTTTATGGCACAACTCGTGTATAAACCCCGCGCACGCCCATGGCCGGTGGTTACCGCTACCGCCGCCGCTACCGTTGCGGTGCGTGGGAACCTTTAATCCGACGATGGCGGATCCATCTTCAACCGACACCGGGCTTTCTCGACAAACGCCCGCAGTGTCGGTTCACACAAAAATTATTATCATTATTATTATTATTATTATTGACGCCCCGGCCCACCGAACAAACGGCGTAAAACGAGCCGAGGGTACCGCACAGTCGGTGCGTCGGTGGTCGGCACCGATATTTAAGTCTTGACGATCGGCATGCAAATTAGACACCGTTATGCAAAACTGCGGACCGAAGCTTTTGAATAATATAACCCTGCGTCTTGATGGCGGCGGCGGCGTCGGCGGACCGCAGTGTCTATTAATTATAAACGCATTTATAATACCTATATACGATATATATATACGTATTTATCGACAACGACGACGACGGTATTATAATTGTGATAATATTATACGCGTATCAAAATACGATATTATGTTATATTAAATTATTATTATTATCTGGGACGGCCCGGTGTAACCGTGAAATTTTATCCCGTTTCCCGGTCAGTTATACAGTGGCGGGGATAAAATACGAGTAGGTGGATCGATGATCACTGTATAAAGTGAAGTGGTGCGCGCCCAGACAGATGGACGTTAGCCGTTTCCGGCTATCCGCCAAAAAGCTTGATTATTGTTTTCACGAACAGTCGTTTCCGCCGATATGAAAAAAAAATTCGACTTTCGTTTCCATTAAGTCTACTTCTATACCTATGTACCTAAATTATCGTTAGAAATCCATTTAGTTACCCAGGGAATATTTGTTTGGTCCGATTCGTACAAAAAATAAAATTTGAACCTATCAATTAGAATCATTTTTTTACCACGCTGCTTACTCGTTATGAATTCCACTTAAAAAAAAAAATGCATATATATATATAAATTCCATTATATTCAATAAATAGGTATATTATTCACGATTCATTATCAAATTTACTCGGGGTTATCGAATTCACACGGCTACGTTGCACGTTGTCGTAATACTCGAAATTTCGTCGTAGTTATCACAACACTTACAGTTAACTCTGAGCCCAATAACACACACACGGTGGCGTATTCATGCGGCGGGTGTTATGTGGGATAGATCTCCTCCCTTGTCTTTTCTTTACGTATTAACACATCCACAACATATCACACATTCTGTAATCTGTTATGTGATATACTTGTATATTTTTAACGGTTAAATATTTGTATAATATTATACATCGATATTGTCACTTTATTATTTGGTGAGTATCATTACACAATAATAACAACAAAATCAAAATAAGATTTCCAAAAAAAATATATTATTTTAAACTACTTGTAAATATTGTGTGTAATTATAGACTAGACTAAATAGGTTAGCATTTTTTGTCTTGTCACGGTGAAGTTGAGGTCAATACATATGAAGTTTTCAATAAATAAAAACAGAAACCTTGAATTAATTTTTTTAATTAATAAAATAGAATATCAGAATATAAATACTATTATGTTCATTGTTATTAAATCTCTACACGGGAGAAACTAAAGCTAGGCCCAATTTAATTGTATGGTAAAAGATTATTTTCGGGCATGATAAAAACATTCAGAATACTTTTTATCACTTTCTATCACAGTACTCGAACATTTTTGGGGGACTATTGATAAGTTTTGAGATATCATTCGGTCCCTTAATGCCTAATATTTCGAAAGTTTATGATGGCTTTAGAAAAAAATTTGAAATTTTTATAATAAATACAAAAAACTTACTGTACAATTAAAATTTCAATTTTAAATTAATTTAATATACAAAAAAAAAAATTTAACAATATTTTCAAATAACTAAATAAATAGCTGAAAAATACCTAAAATATTTTGAAATTTTGACCTCGTACAAAAAGGCTAATTTGTATATTCGATAAAAATGATAATTCTCCAAGGTTATTTTACACTGTATAACAATAAAATAGCAATATTTAAACAAATCGAAGTTCGTGATTGTAAAAAAAAATTCTGGTAGCTTAAAAAGTAGTTTTTAGATAGAAAATAAAATTAAAACACACCTACTGTAAGACTACTAAAACAATATTTTTAAAAGAGGCGATTTTTTTTTTTTTGTCATCTTTTCTAAGATTAACCATACTGTGTTTGTAATAGCCCGGACTACAATTTATGTTAACCATTCGGGGTTTGACCAATCTGTTTTATATTCCTGTAAGTATTGTATTAACTGATATCAATCGTCGTAACTTTACCGATTTTATAGTAAACAACATATTATAATCGTATAAATTATATCGGCACACATCAAGTTCAAAGATGGTTTATTGACTCTTCTGGGTTTCTCGTCTGCTTTATACCTGTACATATATATGTATACTTTTTGTCTTTATTATATTATAATATTATTATAATAACGTTCACGATGAGCTAGTCGATAGTTGTCGGGCACATATAAACGAAAATGTCGCTGTCGTTTCGACTCCGTGTTTATAATATAATATCGGAAATGCGTAGGTACTTTGGACTTTAAATGATTGAACTGTGCGCTGAAAGTTTCCAATTTAATAATGTTTGGAATGACAAATTGTCCTCACGAAAAAGCAAGAAAAGGGGAAAAAAATTACCATCATAATATAATATAGGTAACTCTCAAAAGCGTGTTGAATATGTACGCTAAAGGCAAATTAAGAGTTTTTTTTTTTTTTTTCAAAACAAGCGAAATACAAACTTTAACGTTAGGTAACTACCTACTTATTTTTGTCACTCTACGGTGCGAGAATTATTTCAAAGTGGTAAATATAAAAGTTTGAAACACTCTGACTCCGACACTATACATAATATATGAACTTTTCCAGTTGATTTTCGCAAGAGTTTTTTTTTTTTACTTTAGTTTTTACTAGTTCGTCGATCAATGCATTCATATAATACATATTTAATTGTATATAATACATAAAATAGATGAATATTATTTTACCACGAAAATAATTTGATACTTGTTTAATTTTATTTTTTTTAGATTCTGGGCGAAGTGAGGAATATATTAGTTTTACATTGGTGTCTATTTTTTTTTTTTTTTACGTGAACATTTTTTTCTATCAGAAAGCATACTCCGATTATCAAGTGTAGTCTTTTTTTTTCAAAAAAATGTTCTTTGTGTGGTGCTTTAGAGAAGTTATTTTTTGAGATTACCATTAATATTCGAGATAATGAGAAAAACCATTTAATCAAAGATTAAAATCGTTTTTTTCATTAGCTATGGTATATCGTTGCTTACAGATAAACATTTAATTTCTTTCTGTATCTCACCTCTCCAACTTCCGACCTACACCAGTCACTGCACCCACGCGCAAAATATGTCTGTCTTTTTTTTAATGGTTAGGAAACTCGGAGGGAGGAAATTAAAACCGGGAAAGTTTACGGCAGTAACAATTTGATAATTTTCAATTTTTTTTTTTTTTATTTAAATTCAGTTAAAAATAATCGTATAGACCTGACATTTCTACAGAATATTTAATTCATCATACTTTTCTAGACGCATTTAAATCTATACAATTTCCTGGTGATTTTTGCCCCTTATTATTGATTTTTGCCATTTTCAACGTAAAATATAAGGCAATTCAAAAAAATATTTAACCGAATGTAGTGCAGAATCGTATTTCATTAGCAATGATTTATTATTACGTTTAGGTAGAAACGATACAAATCTGTGTATTCTATCTATTTTAAATTAAATTCCATTTTTTAAGAGTACTACACTCTTGAGCAGTTCTTTTATTCATTTCTGCCTTACTGATTATGATAAACATAAAATAATGATAAATATTTGTCTGTATTATAATATTATTTTAGTCTGATATGCAATAGTTGTGGGCATTAATGATTTTTATAATTATTTACTATTTTTACAATTTTAAAATATACAAACACAACCTAAATAACCTGAATACAAAAAAAGTCCCCAGTGTTCCCCTCCCTATCCCCGGCATTTGTCGTTAGTCGTATTGTCGTGCACACGTCATCATTTTTGTATATTCGTAATTTAATATTGCATTGAGGTAGTCATGAATATTAAATCGAACGAACTGTATATTCCTACAGAACGAATAGTGAATATTATGTTTCTCGAAATAAAACAAATAGTATACGTTTAAACTCGACATGATTTCAATGCAATAGAAATGTTTTTTTTAAATATTCCAGAATATTATTTGCAAACAAAATACATATAACATTACGTTATATATATCTGTATATGTATATGACTTTTGTGAACCTTTTTCTTCATTCGACAGAGATATTTTTCAAATATAAACTCGAAGTCTTAAAGGGTGAGAGAGGAAAGGAAAAACGATCGTTTTAGTTTTTATTCGTTCTTTTGCTCGTAGATTCATATATACGCATAGATGAATATTTTCAGTAGTATGAATAGTTGAAGTGGTGTTGTTATAACATATACTTGGAGGAGATGAAAATATGAACCTTTGTGTGTGCAAACAATGTTAGTCGACATTGTTTTAATATTTTCCATGATATAAGCTGTTATATTCACGTAGCATTGTGAATTGTGCAAACAAATCAAATATTTAATAATAAAAATAAAATATGATTACATATTACAACCGTAACAAGTGAAGCCTTAGTAGAGTATATTACATAATATAATAAGAGTATAGTGTACGTAATAGAGTATATAATTACGTTAATAATCAATTAATAAATAATTACGACTGCTAGAATTGTAATAAATTTTAATGTACGTATTAAATTATTTAATACCTGTCATTTCTTCTGAAAACATAAAGTTTGAGCATACAACTGTCTAAAGGAGGGGGGAATTGAAAATTGAATCCACATAAAATACATTTTCTCGATAGTTATACAAAATTGCATTTCCTGACTTAATTTAGAGGGTTAATATAGGTAATCAAAACTAAAATCTACCCTCCTTCCTAAACAACATAGTGAAATTCATAATCAAATTCAACCAAAAGTCTACATCACTTTAATCCTCTTATAAAGCAATTGCAATTCCCTAGTTTTAACTTATTTTTTTCTAGAGACAGCCGCTAAAAGTGTCCAAAAAAGTAGGGAAAAGATACTTTTTGTAAAATCAATACTATCCTATCCTAAACCCTGGAGGACATCGATGAATTAGTAAAGTTAAAGACGTTTTCACCAATAAAAACGCTTTCTTTTATCTGATTTTAGGATACGAATTTGATAACGATTGGTCAGTCATCCTATAAACTCCTTTTAAAATTCAACGTTTATGTGCGTGAAAACAACTCTTAGACCATATTTTTGAAGAATAGCTAATTTTTGGTTTTATTGTAAAAACGACGAATTTCTTAGAGAAGATAACTTTCACTCTTAGAAACAATTACTAGCGGTATCAATTTGACGTTGGATCATATTCACGGCTCGGTTGTTGGAACTGTCACTCTTATTTTGTACTAACAGCATTGACATGTCGAAAACAATTTTTCGAGGTCTGTGCCTCGTCCAAATTAATAAGTGAAACGTGGGTTGTGGACAGTCGGTGATGTAAAACTGTAGACCTTTAGAACTGCGAGTTTGAAGTAATAAAATATGAAATAGCACATTTATTTATGATTTTTTCGTAAGAGGGTTGGCGGCGTTGTTGAGTATAGAAAATTTCTGGGCTTCACAGGAAAACAGTATCCTGCACACCGTCAACTGACATTGCGATGCGATAATATAATAAATAAGTACCTAACCTACCTACCTACACCTACAGTATTTAATAACACCGCCCAAACACGCCACGACCATACACCAATAAACGCTTTTGTTTTTCGAGCACTGCAGCACTCGGCTTGATCGTTTACATTGCGATATTTACTTTTGCTCGCATTCTCTCCCATTGTTTTATTGGGTTTTTTTTAAAAAAAATACAAAATGTTACAATATTATATTTTTAGCTTGTTGGGAAAAACAAAGAGCGTGTGTTTAAATCGCACGGTTTTGTGTTTCGTTGTAGATATTACACCAGTCCGTGTGTGCGGGCATGTTTTATTTTTTTTATTTATAAACGTTTGTTTTACGCTTTTTACCCGCGTACATATTTAATTCAATATTTATTTTACGTACATGTATAATAATTGTTTTGTATAAGTGAAAAACTCCGTACCGACACCCCTCCCTACTGTATTATTATTATTATAAATACAATACGAGTAAAATGTAAACGTGAGTATGTACGCTATTGCAATAAATATTTATGGTACAGTATAGGAATAATACGTACGCGATAAGTTTTTTTTTTCCTACGTAAAAACGATAAAATATATAATATCTCTTAAAACACTAACTTGTAAAGGTACACACACTTATGTGCTCACGTTGATAACAACAATAACAATAATAAAACGCTGACGCAAATTAATATAATGTTTAATATTTACACCTCGTCTCCGTGTATCGCCGTCGTTACCGTTGTCGGTCGACCGCCCCCGCGTAAATACCGTGTGTGATATTTTAAAACAATAATAATTACCATTTTATATATAAAAAAAAACAAAAAAAATACACAACGACATCATATATAATATCATCGTTATTGTTATTTACTCATTGGGGACCCGTAATCGATTGATTCGCGTACAGTTCAAATATTATAAAGTTAACGTTCATCACTGCATAATGTTTCAAAATCGAAAAAAATCGTCTATTTTTCTTTTTTTTGTTAAACGTAAATGTTGAAACTTTTTAGTTTATTAGTTGTGAAATTGTGTACTGAATAAAGTTTTCGAAAAATGTAAAATTTTCGTTAAATTATCTCTGTTTATAAATTATTAATAAATAAATTCTAATATTCTAATATTATGTTCAGTAAAAAGTTGTTAACCATTTATCGGTATCAAAGGTAAATGTTTGTCGTCAAAAGCTTTAAATTTTGTAGGAAATTCGCTGTCTAATAACGATTTTGTCATTATTATCACGAACGTAAAGAAAATAAGTGATTAAGATATATGTACACCCTGTATTACTTATCCATTTTCATATTTTATGACATCTCACAATTTAAGCTTCACTTTGATATAGTATAGATTTTTCTGCCCTTTACTCAATTGCAACTATACAAATAATTTATTATATTACGCTGATTTCAATCATAGTTTGTATACGTTTATGTATAGGTAACTAAAGTGTTTGTGACGGTGTAAATATTCGCAAAACCCTACATCTCCTGAATAAGGGGTATATTTTAAAAATTACATCACAATTGAGTTCTAGAATATAACAATGTATATTCCACTATCAATTTCGTAACCTGGGAGTGGTTATGGAGAATTCACTTCTAATAAAAAGCACATTATAAAACTGATAACAAATTTGGGTTCTAGGACCTTTAAAACTCATGATCCTATACTTCTTGATTTTTTATATCATACAATTTAAGAACAATTAGTTTTCGCCGGTTTTTTTTGATTTTAAACCATTGTGCGTCGTGTTATTTAATTGCCAACCTATCAGAAAGTGTTATTTTAGAGTAGCGGATCAAAGAAAGTGCGGTGAAGCAATGAGGTCTATACTGTCTTACCCTTCCTGACAAAATCGTAGTACTATAGTATAATATATTTATCTCCGTACTGATATAAAAAAAAACATATATTTTCACACCAGGGTTTTTTGATGTAAATAATGGTTTTGCCTCTTACCACCGCCCAAAATTAAGTTCTGGATCCGCCACTGGTGTTACTTTTCGCATAAACTGCACTCTGCACCGTCCGTCGTCATCGCGATACGTATTACTCGTTCGCATATTATATACAGGTGTACAATAATAATATTTATACAGCTAAATACATGTAGTAGATATCCTCGACCCATTTGGATTGTATCCAAAAATCATCAATTTAACAACAAAACGTGAAACTTACTATTATATTATATGGGTAGGTAATAGGTACCTAGGTGCCTGTTAAATATTTAGATTGCATATATATATATATATATGGGTATTTTTTTTTTCTTAAAATTTTGCGGTTTTGCCAAAACGATAGTATCAAAATCTCGTTTACCTACACAGTTATACATAATCTATGCTATTAGGATAATAGAAATTGTTATTTTGTAACGTTATAGCTATGCTTGGTTTTACTATTTTATCTAATCCTTCTATAATATTAGGGGTGTTTGGTGATTTGGTTTACTGAAATATCGTTTGATAACTAAGTGTACTTTTACACAACCAGATTGTCGGAGTAGTCAAAAAATAATTTAAAACTACGTGTACTGTCTTTAATTACTGATTATAGTTGTCTAAAGATAATATATTGCACAGCAAATAAAATATTTCGGTGAAAACGCAACCAAGTAACAAACAACAAAAAATAACACAGGAAACTCTTCACCGAAAACTGCATTGCTAAAACACGTCAGTTTGTCGGCAATCAAACCTAATCACCGAGTCACGTTACTCTGGCATCACTATGTTAAATTTTTGTCTTCAATGGGATTTTGTAATAATTTTTTTTCGCGGTTACAAATATTTACATATTACCAGTCGATATTGAAGTCAAAATTTTGACATGGTGGTGCCAGTGTTACGAACCTTAATCGTCGAACGCTGAAATTTTAACGATTCCATCAAGTCCATTTCAAAACCGGATTTAAAAAAATAAACTCCTTAAATCATACGTCGAATGAGACTTAACCTTGGTTAAGATGGTTACCTTGGTAAATATTCGCAATTTCACGTAACATTTTTTTCCTGTTTTTTTTTTTTAAATTATTATATAGACCACGTGGAAAATAATAAAAAAAAACTCCAATTGCACCAATTAGATAAAATTTCATTTCAGAAAAGGCGCTACACTTGTTAAAGTGAAGCAAGTTTTCTGTTCGAAAAGTTCTTCACTAACACAAAAGAAAACTAATAAAAAACAAATACCATAGTAAAACCAATAAATCCCTCGCTACGCTCCGAATCTAAAAAAACAGTTGTCTTTTGCTTAACAACGTACTTAGATAATTTTATTTTCACCTACAGAAAAACGTCTAACAACAGTTAACAGTGACAGGCGTGACAGATACGAGAATATGCGTGTATGCGTTAAATCGAAGTTATCGTATTGATTTTTGTTTTGGAAAGGATTTTATTTTATATCTGCTCTAAATGATCAACCAGAAAAAAAATCGAGAGAATTCTATTGGCTTGGGCTTTGACGTCGGGCTGGACAGGACGGCTATATTTTCGAATAAATTCTCCTAACCTGTATTTTACCTTCCTAACTCCCCACCTACAATATTATCGCGCCCGTCCACAGTTAAAGCTTCTTTTTTTTTAGATTCTATTTAAAGATGTTGGTTTTATATATTAGGTTTGAGATAAACGCTAAAAAGGCGGTTTTTATTGTATGTATTGTTCGTATAGCAATAACTTTATAAATATCTATTTTTTCTCCTCTCTACCTCGTTATAATAATAATATTTCATTACAATCATTATTAGGCAGTACAAAACAAAACATATCCCGTTACATTGTTTTTGTAATAGCTTTTCTCTCGCGGGCTAACTCGTCAAAATGTACGACCGCGTAGCTCTATACATCTACGTCCTCCTACAGCCACCCGTACCAACACTATACTACCCAACGTAAATTTAACGTAACTAACCAAATTATAAACGATCGTATTTATATAAAAACAGGTATACAATATAGGTATCGGTTACACATCATTTTACTTCGCGTTTACATCCCGTTATGTCGATTGAATAATTAATTTCGTTGAAAATTCGGTCTCGTAATCCGCGAATGTTTTAAAACCCCAGTGGTTTTTCCGCTCGACATTATAATATCAAGTATACGGTATCCGCGCTTCTTTTTATACGACCAGCATTTTCCCACTTTCTGGATAATAAGCCTCGGAGTTTTATGTACAAGTATAATATATATATTTATATACATAAACAGTGTAAAACAACGTTACTACATGGCTGCAGTTTGTAGTGTATAATTTTCTAACCCGAAAAACAAACTTTTAAATTGTTTTTTTCGTCATCGTTGTTGTTCTTGTTCTTCTGCTTGACGAAAAAAAATAAACGAAATGAAACGAAATTGAATGATTTACAAACAGAATACACGCGGGAGGGCCTGCTCCGTAGTATAACTTTTGCGGCACGACCACGGAAAACTTTTCGATTTGTAGCGATGCTGCTCCTGCCGGTGTATCTTTTTTTTCCCCTGTCTTTCCAGTCCACCACATCCTTTTCAGTCACACACACACGTTTACTACCATATATTTTATATATACACTCACGTATATAACAGACGAGTTTAAGGGTTGCCGGTGTGGCATAAAAGTTTTTGGAGAAATTGTTTTGTAGCGAAAACCTCACCTATTCTACCACCGTGTTCATTTCGAGTAATTCTTCAGGTGTCGGACGTGGACGGCGGCGACTCTGGTCTGTAATTCAATTTATCTGATCACCGAAGAACTGATAGAACCCCGTATAACTCTCTCATATATATACCATCCCGCGAAAAGTGCACGCGGCCAAACGGTCCGAGGCGAAAAAAGATCGGCCGAAAGTGTACGGTGAGAAATGCCTTTTAGTCACGCGCTACAGTAACTAACCTGTAGCTTTTTATTACCCCCCTCCCCTCCTATTCGCCTGGTCATTGACGTAATTTATATGATTCACATACCATGGTTTGATAAGCAATTCAAGTTGACTACTCGTGGCAAACAGCTACATCATCGGAGACGGGAAAATCCTCGAGGCAAATAAATTTTAAAATCTAAAATTCTCCTAAAAGGAAAAATTAACAGTTGTTGATTTTACTTTTATACATTTATAAATTAGAGAATGGAAGCTTCGTGGTTTCTTCAGAAATATTATCATTATATTTAATTATTTTCGTTAAAATTACAACCAACGGGCAACCTACTAAAATGCAATATCGTTTGCAGTGAAAGAGATCTCACAGAAACAAATCATAATAATATGGATACAGCCCAGTACTGTTGAAACGATAGTTTATATAGTAGAATTAATATTCTCGGACTAGCAAAGCAAAAAAGAAGTTACCAATAATTGTATCTACTTTTATGTTTCATGATATTTTAAAATTGTTAAGAATTTTTTAATTTAATTTTAAATTAATGTCAGTTTCGCTATACCTATGATGTTCTTGCATTGTGCTGTTACCCAATATAAACAAATAAACAGTGATAAGTTTATGGATAAAGGGCTGATCCAGGAAGGATACAGGGGACGATTTCCATCTCTATTACCAAAATATGTATTATGTATGATATTATGAATTTTTGAAATCTAGACAAATTTGAAATAAACAAAACAATTTTATATGAGAAAAATCTATTTATTTTTGTTTTTTACTTTAAATTATCATCGAATTCGACTAGAATCCAACTCGCACTTAACTTTTTGATTTTTACCAAAAATTAAAAAAAAAATATATAAAAAAATACAATTTTACCCCTATGCTATCGGAACACATACTATACTCGTATACCCTGACCGTATATAGATGGCGGATGCGCTTTTATATAGGGGTGGAAATGAGGGAAAACACGGGTGCACATTATTGTTAAAAAAAAAAAAGTTTTACCAGGGACAGTTAGTTTAAAATTTAAATAACGTACCTGTATAACTTTGATATGGGCCCGGTAAAGTTTAGACTGCATTCGTAGTAAACGTATAGTTGGTAATAGCTGCACTGCTGCAGGTAATATTTTTTAATGTACATTCGCCGCATGTAGTTGTCGTCAATCGAGAGAGTTGCGAGCAAAGTTTACAGAAATAAGTATTGTATAATATAATATATAATAAAGTGTATAGGATTTTAAAAAATGAAAAAGAAAAACCCCCGAAAATTGTAGTACCGTACTTGCGCGTGGTGGAGGCGACGACGCCGAGATTATAAATCGTTTTCTGCAGTCTCGCCAAAAGTTGCATATAATTTAATAATATAATAATAAACTTTCAATATAATCGTCGCAATATAAATAATACAATGTAATAAATGTGTTTTCGGCGTTAATGACTTTCGAGGACGGCTTTATAAAATGAGGGGTGCTGAAGGAGGAACATACAAAAGGGGAGTGTCGTATACGATGAAGCAGTGGCGGTGGTGATGGTTCAGAAGATCACGAAAGGAATTTGTGTAACTTCTTTGACGTGACACTGACTGCGTATATATATATATATATAGATATTATTTATATATATATATTTACTCCGTCATCGCACCGAAAAAGCATCAGTTATCTTCATATATAATGTTATTACAATATAATGTAGTTATATGTCGTGGTATTTTTTTTTCTTAGATTATGAATAGAGCGAGGAATTTGTCGGTTTTACAATGATTTTTATTTTTTTTTTTTTTATGTGAACCCTTTTTCTACCAGAGCGGTTATTCCGTTATCAAGTATAGTACCTTTTCCGAAGGAAAATGTTCTCTGAATGGAACTTTAATGAGGTAATTTTTTGAAATTTCATTAATATTTGAGATAAGGAGAAAAACCTGGTTGAGTAGGTTAAAAAAAGATTGAACGATTAAAAAAAAAAGGTTGCCATTGGCCATCGTTTTTATTTATGTTTTTTCATTATTTTAAATGAAAACGTACATTACACTTTAATGTGGCATAAATATTGTTAACAAACAATATGTACATATATATATTAAATTCTCTTCCTTACCCTACCTTCTAAACTTCTCACCTACAACAGTGGCTGCGTCCACGGCGAAATTGCCCGTACTTTTTTTTTTTTTTTTATTAGATAATACGTAAATAAATATTTTGTACGCATTCGTTTATATTAATATTTAACAATAAAAATATCGCGTAAAGCTATAAATAAAATTACTGTATATGGCTCCTTCCTAATTGCTCTCCTAAAATAGTGGCAAATCCATTATAACACGGATTAGGGAGCGAAATTTTCGGTTTTTATATCCCAGAGGGTGTTATAACTACATAGAAATAAGCGTGTAAGCAAATTTAGCTCCTAATAAATTAACCGTCGGTTTTCAAAGGTTTTCAAGAAAATTTGACCACTTATCTGGTCGAAGTGACTTGAAAAAAATAGAACCAGTCGAATGTAGTATTGAAAATAGATGTGTCTATTAAATATTTAAATTATTTGTAGGTCGCGCGTGCACAGTTCACATATAGGATTCAACAGATAAGGTTTTAAATTTACGTTCAAATGTATATTACAAGTACCTATATTCCAACGCCTGTCGAAATACCGAAGTTTAATTTCTTATTAATCTAATGTAAATTCCAATCAGGTCATTCAATTGAAAACGTTCTGTTTTATCTGAAAAAAAATAATTGCCCAATTATACAACATAGAACATTTTTAAGTACACGGTATTACTGCGGCAAAAATATTAGGTGATACACTGATGAAAATAGTTCGACTGAAGTCGCCGTATTTAATTGACGAGGAAAGTGCCAAAGGATTAAATCCTCTGTTTTTATAAACCGTCTGAATCTGATTTATATTTTCAGTTGCTCTGCTGTAGCCGCATTATATGTCGCACCGACCGGACTTCCCGATTGCCTTCCACCGTATCCGCGTTTATTTTTGTTATTATTTATTTATTTATTATTATTATTATTTTTTTTTTTTATTATTATTATTATTATTTACGGTGACCGATAAATCATGACTACGACGATGACGTGAGAGAGAGCCAATAGAAAAGAGAAAAAAACAAACGAAAAAAAAAAAAAACAAAAATCGCCTGAAATCGTTACGTGCTCACGCATCAGCTCGTTAAATTCACGGAAACTACGCGACCTCTCTTCGAACGTAGTAGTAACCGGAAATCGGGCCGACAATTCCTAAGTCGCTATAGAATTTCCGCTGTTTTTCGTCAATAAATAATATCGATCAAAACCCCTTTTTACGCGCTTGTCTTTTAGGATTGATACGAAGATGAGCAGATCGATTCAAAATATCGTGGTTCAAAGATTCTTTAGACAAGTATATATAGGGAAAAGACGTTTTAATCGGGTTTAAAATAAAACAATAGTTTTACACAATAAAACAATATTAATGTTTAAATTAATTTTAAGTCGATTCTCTTCAACTAATATTGGCCATATCCAGAAAACTCGGAAAGTTGGTTTATATTTTTCAAGGTATGAATTTGTTCAATATTGTAATATTTTTTTATAAATTCGAATATTAATTATTATAAAGTTGCGTGTAGAAATATTTGAAATAATATAAAAAATTTAACTCTAAAAATGTCTTTATTTTTTTGCTACTCCCGCAAAAATTGTTTTCAATCTACACTGTGTTTTATTTTGTGTCGTACCCATGCTTCGTAATTTAATGTACGCGTAAACAAGAGTGTTCGCTATAAAAGAATTAATGTAATTTGAATAGCCTGCCGGATGAAACGGTGCATATTTTTAGTAAAAACTTTCTATTAACTAACAAGTTCGACTGTTTTATCGACATCAGTGGCTTGGTCGCAATATATCATCGCGGGGGTTTAAATAATATTTCGATGGCCCAAACGCAATGCGTTAAATCCATTTTTAGGGGGAAATAAGAATAATTACACTCGCCCGAAATCAAACCGAGTTTTGTAAAGACGGTTCGATCGATCGATCGACAGCGGACGGCTATAGATATAATACAATATATATGGACGCTGTCGATAGGTCAGCGGGCTCAATATTATTATCATTTCTTGACTTCCTGAAATCCGCTACGGCTATTAATTATCGTTATTTTTGACGTTATCGCGTGCTAAAACTCGCACGCGAACAACCGGCACGGCGGGGCTGCATAAAAAAAAAAAAAAAAAATCCACTTTATGATTTCCGTGCCCACGACATTTAATTTTTCTTTTTCTAACTAAATATCCTATTTAATAATTGTTTATTATGTGCCATAGATTACAAAAGAATAGGTACCCGCTTAAAAAACTTTTCGCCTAAAGAAGCTACTATCACACATGCATTCGTTATTTTCTTCTTACTAGCGGACGACATAACGAATCTGCGTTCAAAATGTTTTTTTTTTTTTTTTTGTTATTTTAAACTCAAATGGTTTATAAGCATGTTTAAAATGTGATATTTCACCTATTCATGTCTCCCTTAATAGTTAAAATATCGCCGAAAAAAAAAACTGATAATATGTTAACCGTAATATTTACCATATTATTTAGGTATGTAATAGATTAATTCGTTATAACATTAAAACACCAAAACATATGTTTTACTGAACTCAAAGTAGTTATTTCTTGGATTTTTTAAGACGAAGACGATAGATTTGTGTGTGATATCCTCATAAGAAGCTCTATTATATGATTTTCCAAAATTTCACCAATTTGTGTACAATTTGAAAACTATTTTTTAACATTCTAGCAACTACTTTAATGATAAAACGTTTACACTACGTCTACAAGTTGCCGATACCCATTTAGTAGGGAGGGTTATAGAAGTTTTTACGTATTGATATGACGATGATAGAAATAACTCGTCATTGTCTTGTATTTAATAATTGAAATAATAATGATTATTTTACGATTATTTTCATAAACAACAATAAATTATATTGAAAACATTAAACTCTGATTTATTGTTTGATTTTAAATAGTGGTTTAAAAAAAGGTTATTTTTTTTTTTAAGATATAATACGAATGTTGAGCTTTGAATATTAAAAACCAGAATTCAATGAGGGCTGTATAATAAATCTTTATTATTCTAACACAAACAACAATCGTCATAATCGGTCCATTTTACGAGATATGAGATATATAATATATGCAAGGCATGAATTTGGAGCCAAAAATTACGATAGTACCAGAATTTCTCAATTTCTTAGCCTATACCTATATAAACAGATTATTATATTAAAATATTATTTTGAACGGTATTTTCGTTTTTTTTTTCTTTTAAAAACATATTCCGCTATAACAAAACTTAATGAAAAAATAATAATAACAAATATGATTATGAGCAGTAATGCTCAATGCTCCTAAATGCTAATCGAATTCAAAAATATTGTTAATTTTGATTAAACCGCATTGGTATATTATTATGAATGCTTTTTTGAAACGCGATCATACATTTTCTAACAATCGTTAACGGAAAATATTATTTATAATATTATAAAAGTGAAAATTATTAAAAACAATATATACGTTTAAAATATTCTAACGTCAAATCGAGTCTAAATATAGATAGTATCTACTTATAATATATATACTTCTGTACATTAAATTTTTATCAGGAAAATAATCAATCATAATAAACGACATACCTATCACTGTTAATTTGTTACGAATTTTTGATGATTCCAACATTAATATTGAAACTCAATTACAATAAAAATAATCTATTTTTAAAATTTAAAACGTTTTATCACGTTTCACATGATCATTACAATTTTTACCTTTTTTTTTTTTTTTTATTGGGCAACTCAAACTAGTCATATTACTATAATAGTTCCTGAGGCAGTTTACGGTATTAGACTTCAATATTGTTATCGTTAAAATCCGATTGGAATACGATTAAATGTAATTCGAGTGACAGTGATATCTGGTACTTAATTCCAAACTACTCGACTGTGAACACTGAATAACAATACTACTGCAAACGTACATTTTATGGACTTGACACATTTTCCTTCGAAATGCGATATAATACGTGTGTTGGCACCTACATTATTTTAAACGATATACTATAACCTCATCATTATATCAAATATTATAAATCAATAAATTACTATTGTTGCTTTGTCGATTTGCTCAACTTATAGTAGCATGATGTATTACAACTCTATCATAATATAAATAATAATCAGTGATTTCCTGAGCGTTTCTACTAACATCAGATGCAAATCTCCATTCGAAAAAGTTTACTAGTTCGACTAATTCGTTTGTTGATTTTCTCAACTTGATGAAAATGTTTGGTTTCCTCATTTATGTATTAGAATGCTGTCAATGAAAAATCAGATGATGTGCTAACCAATGAAACCATCAAAGTTTAAGCGTCCACGAAAATAAACTCAATCACATTATCGAGGCACTTAACATTATCGACAATAAGATATGGAATTTTCGCAGAAAAATCGGAATATTGTTCCTATCGGCTATCTGTAAAAAACTTTACAACGTACTTGACGTAAAAAAATGGAACAATCTTGATGTGAATAGAAATAGATTGTAGTTGTTTAATTTAAAAATAATAATATCAGGTGCACTAATACGCATAACACACTCCTATATTTTATCAACAAGGACCCGACAGCTATACTTGTGAGTAGTTGTCGCATACGCAGAGAAAATCAATCAAATAAGCATAAAGGAGTATTTATCGAATGTTCCAAATAAACCGATGCGCGCAACTTGTTATCAACCTTACTTGGCCACTCCGCAACGGCGAACCCTCGAGAAAGAAAAACTTTGTTGCAGCCCACTCAGTCTTCTACATTGTTAGTTATTTAAGTAGTCTTTAGGTTTAAGAACTCTTAGATTTCGAAGCCTTGTTTGTAATTTAGAAGAAACCGCTAAGTTTTAGCGCTTTAAACATATATATTTTAATTTTATATCGATAATTATATCTATGATTCATTTTTAAGAAAATAATATTCTCTATAAATGAAATAATTTAATCATATTATGTATTCAATCGGATACAAATATTTAAAAAACTATTATATCTGGTTACTCATATCAGTAAACGCCTATTTAAATATGCAGTGTTATTACAAAATATTTTTAAGGGCGATCCACTAAAAAAAAAATATTATATAATTCTTTCGGAGTGAATAATTTTTAACTTATCTCATATACGATTCATGTATAGTCAAATATAAAAGAAATTTACAATATTTGATTCGTGATACAATTCAACTATAATGTTTTAAAAATATTATTGTCAGTTTATAATACGGGAAAAAATAAAGCAAAATTCAAATAAATTGATGTTTTATTATATTTTTATAATTGGTATAGGTTTTAAAAACGGTTTTATTATTACGATTTGTCAATTCCACGTTTATATACACATTATTTTTTTAACCGCAATATTTCTGTTCGTTTTGTTAAATGTATGTGATCATAAATAGTCCTGAAACATCATATAAGTACATAGGATGTATAGATATTATTTAACCAAACAAATATTTTGTCTATCGAATCCATTTCGACCAGCGTTAACTAATATTTTTCATTTTCGGTTACAAAAACAGATATACATTTTTCGTTATAATTGTTTTATTGTTATTTGTGTACCTCCATATCAATGTGATAATTTTGTAAAAAAAAAAAAAAAAAATATATAGGTCTTCATATATGTATTTTTATGTTTCAGAAAAAAAACGTTTTAAATGATTCCCGGTAAATTGCGTATTTTAATTCACAAAAAAAATTGTTTATGTCAAACGTAAAAATGTCGAACGTATAATTTACAGATATGTTTTGTGTGGACATACTATGACGGTGATATGTCGTATACATACGTAAATTATTTTAAATATGTAGTATATTGCTGGCCATGGTTAGTGTAAGCAAAGATCTTTAGTTGAATAATACCATATTATATGGAAAAGACCATTTTGGAGGCCAAAGTTAAGGTGGAAGGAGGACAGAAAGATATTAAAGCCGGGAAATAGATGGAAGGGAAGCTGCAGAAGACAGAGCCAAATAGCAGGCCTTGTACTTGTTTAGTGATGTGGTCATAAAGGCCAAAACCAAGAAGAAAAAGAGAATAAAAGAAATGATAACCAATAACCATATACCATATAGAATTTTTAAAGCACTCATCTCTTAAGTGTTGTTGGTGTATTTCATAACGACAAAACTGCTATTAGATAAGGCCGACGACGACGGAAATGAATATATGATATTGTATCAGTCAATGTATGAGTTTTTATCAAACTTATACAATTTAATTTTTTGTTCGTATTTATTTAATTAATAAATGTAGAAAAACATAACTATAGTCAATAAGTATTAAACTACGAGAAATCGTCCTCGTGAGCTCGCTCTTCACTAGTAACGCTCGTAAGCAAGTATAATTGAGGAAATAAGTAAATTTCGAATTGATTTCTTAGTGTTTATGTTATTATTATTATTATTATTATTATATTTTTATTATTTCTTTTTTTTAATATAATTCAAAAGGTAACATCGTTTGATGACAACTATGATAATATAGTATGCAATATGTTTTATGTTTTATTAAATTTGATGTTCAATCTGTTATAAACTGTTCTAATAACGGTTAGGACAATTGTACGTTATATACCCCCCTACCAAAAAAAAAAAAAATTGACGCTGATAATCGAAAACGGTTTTTCTTTTACTGTTTTTCTATTAAACATCGTGTTTTCTAAGTGTTACTTTTGAATGACCACTCCCCTGCCCCAAATTCTTCTATATTATATACATAACAAACGGCATTGCACAGGTCGTAGTGATTTTCTGTATTAAAACAATTTGTAATATTATTTTTATATTAATTATAAATTTCAGGCACTGAACCTGAGAGCGAGGAGAGCAAAGGCGGCAAGAAGACCACAGCTGAACAGGGACATGAAACCGGGAATAATCATCGAAAACGTCGCACAGACTCGGAGACGGTTGGCTGAGACCACGTTGCTGGCCACGGCTTCATTAGCGCCCGGAAGTTCTTCTATCATCGACGAAGGGCCCACTAACACCGGAAGTGGAAGTCAGGTAGTAAAATATGCACGATAAACTTTAATATAATATTATAGGTGAATTCAGTTAATCCGGTCGCCGACATTCGTCGGTATTCGTAATAAGAAATAATATATTGATATTATCACGAGATATAAAACAATTTTTATTAAATAGACCCTATGAGTAAATCTTAAGCTTGGCACACATGTATCAATAGGGAAATTGTATTAATTTGTTGTCTCTTGTCAAGATTCGGAAGAATTATATTGTTCAGATATCACCAATGTTGTCTGGGACGCGCCACGTATAAGTTTCTTTCATGCATAATGCGCTCCGTTGTATTAATCTATAAAATATATTTTTTTACCGCGAATCATGTGATAAAATAATATATTATGTGTACGGTCTTTGAAGACAATTTTACTAATCTTATCAAACTTATCAAATTTTACTAACGCATGTAACAAAATGTTAACAACAATTTTGGAAAGAATAATGGGTAGAAATACTGAAGCAAAGTTACTAGAAGACCAGTTTGGATTCAAGAAACATAAGGGTATAATTGAAACAATATTTTGGCTTTATGAATAAATTGTGAGAAAATAATTAAGTATAATTTAAAAAAACAAATAATTGAAATATCGGTATACTAAAATGTGTAAATGATATAGAAACAATAATAGCTAAATAAGAAAAATTACAAAAAATATCAATAACCATGAAAGAAGAGATAACTGATAAATGTGATCCAGAATGGGAGAGAATTTTAAAAGAATTTGATTTTTGTTTTTTTAATATTTTTTTTCAATCTTTATATTTTATAATTGTTTTTGGTTAATTGATAGCACTAAAATCTTCTTATATCTCGAATAAGTATTTCTTATCTATTTTTACAGGATAACTAATGAATATTCGTCCAGTCTAATTTAAATCGATTTAACTGATAAAAATGATAAATCCTATACTATAGTGTTTTGCATATCGACATTTTCAGAAACACATTATACCCTCGATTCTGGTATGAAAAGTGCGTTGGAAATTAAAAAACAAAATTCGATATAATTTCAAAAATATTCCTAATTATAGAATAAGATAGACAAAATCACTAGTTCTTGATAAAATAACCAGCTCGTATAATGTGTACACACAAATACTGTTGAAGAATACGTGCCGATAATCATTGTCATCGTCATAATTTGTGTGTGTAGATTTTGATCACGTGTTAAAGTTTAGTTATTCGGTTAAGTTTTTAAAATGCTATAAGCGCACTCGTCGTCATCACATCGGTCGAAAAGATCTTTAATTAAATATATTATCGCGCTTTAAATATATTATATTATACTTACTTAATAATAATAATATGTATAACGCTTGACTTTTTAAACAATTAAACAGTTTTAGCCGCTGTAAAGGTACCTAACTTTTATTGTGAAACTTTTTATTCGCGCCTTAATTACTCGGTCTCCTGCAAATGTGTGTACATTAAATATTTTGGTGTACACAAGTTTAAAGCAAGTAAAAATGATATAACGGGGTGGTATAACAACCGTTGTTTAATGTTCTTTTCGTTTAATTGTTTTATTTGTTTTATTATATATTACATAATGACAAACTATTTGCTACATATTTCTAAATTCAACTAAAACAGTAAAGACGTTTTTCTTTTTATCATTAATAGCGAAGCAATACACGTATCGATAGATATTTCTAATGTGATATATTTTAAATTCTGAGTAAAGTAATAGTATATCGGTTTTACAATGATAATGTTTATTTCTTTGAGAAAAACATGGAAAAATATTTGATAAAAGAGAAAGTTTTTATTATAATATCTTGTTACAATTCTCAGTTGAAAAATAACTGTATGTTAAAACATGAATTGTTCACAAAAAAATTTAACAAACGCCTTTTTTATGTATGTACAAATTTTTGAAATACTGACAAATTTAGAGCTAATTATAAACATTTGACAATTTCTAGCTTTTTTGATTTTTATTTAGCTTTATGCGGACACAATAATTTTGGCCAAGCAAAAATGCTTAAATACACGAAATTCATCACAAATTGTATTTCGTGGTAAATAAGATAAGTTAGGTGTAATCAAGCAGTTTTTTTTTTTTTTTTTAAATGCGTCTTATATGCTTTTAACAATAACACATTCAATAAGATTATCAATATTTTGTCTAACAGTAAAAAATGTTTGACCAGAAATCTTGTTGTCTAACGTTAAATAAAAAATGTTGTCTAAATAGCGCAATGGTAATTTTTCGGATTCCCTTGTTTGTTTCCGATTAGGGAAAACGTGCTTGAAAATACATATTTTACGATCCATTGATTTTTTATCAAATTTCAAACAAAACTGTAACCGAACCAAGAGATACCGGTTATAGAACTGGGAATCTTGTGTTAATGATGTTGACCTGGAACCTAAACCGAAATTATTTTTTCAAATGTTTAAAAAACTAAACCAAACCCGAACCTAATTTGTAAAGTTCAACTTTTTTTCAGAATTATACTATTTGTAGTATGTTTTCAACATTCATTTTTATTTAATTTAAATTTTTTCCAAGTGCATTTTATACTATGTATAAAATGGATGAAAAATAAAAAAATCATACTACATTATTCTATAATATTGTCAATTCAGTCTATACGGGCTTGTTTTCAATGAACTAAAAAAAAAAAAGAAAAAGTACATAATAATATTACCGACTATAATAATTATTAACGAGGAATGTATTAGTTGTTTTTTTTTTTTTTACCTGTGAACAACTTATCTATCAGAAATTTTGCACTGATTTACGATAATATCATTTCTTATATAAAGAAATCTGGCTGGGGAGGTACATTAAGGAAGTCATTTTTTTGATTTTCCCAACTGTTAATATTAATATTTATTAATAAATGGAAAAAACTATGAAAATACGTATTAAAACGGGAAAATAGTTTCAATAACATCAAATAATATTAAAGAAAATGTATAATACATAATTTGACATATATATTGTTGAAAAAACAAGACTGTTAAACGAACCGCAATCAGAATCGCTTTTCGTTAGCGATGGTTAATCATAGCGTTTAGACATACATTAAATTTCTCCTCAATCTTTCCAACTTCTCACATTTAACAGTGGCTCAATTACGTGCGAAGTATGTCCTTTTTTATGACAATATTATACAGATTTCGATTTCAGTGTATACGATTTTGATTATCAACAATAAAATACCTATCAAAACAACATTTTGAAATTCGAGCGATTGCCCTTATATGCGGTTACCTATTCTGTGTGCATAAGGTCAGATTTTCAAATGCTCACGTAAAAATAATGATCACGGTCTTTTCGTTAGCTATTTTTATATTTTATTTCTCACATTATTACAAAGATTACCGTCAGATTTCTGTATGTCCACGTATACGTACCCACGCTACATAAGTATATAAGCCGCATAAATAAACTCCATCGCCGCAAATTTTAGAAAATTACCTCGAGATCGGACGTAATTTTAGCTACGGCACGTAATATATTATTAGGTACTTATATACAGGTTGATACAGATTTTGTCTTACATTTATAAAGAAATTTGTGTGTGTAGTTTTCTTTTTTAAAGAACGATTTTTATACCAAATTTTAAGTATGATGTTTCCATCTTCTTTAAATAGATCTGAGCTCGGTTCATTTGACGGGTAAACGTACATTTTACCGATGTATTATTTTTACCCGTTCAATTTTTCTACCATACTTAAAATTGAGTGACTTTAATTTAAACGATTTTACAAGCCGAATGGCATTGCATGTATTTTTTAGTCTTCACTGTACCGTATAATAAAATAAATTTCACCAAAATTGGCGTTCTCTCATTATGTTAAAACATAGAAAGTGAAAAAAAATTCAAATGATATTGAGTTTAATATTTCCAATAATCACCTTAGCATGCAATATGTTTCTTATTTTACAAATTCAAACTATTGAAACTATATTACTAATACGAGTAGTTGCAAACAGTATTTTATTGTTTAGAATATAATTTTTATTTTTTTTTTGGTTTTTTCAAATATTATAAATAAATAATATTGTTTTATTAATAAAGGAAAACTCATCTATATTATACAATACTGCTCTTTCTTTGTGTTCATTTGGTATATACTCATATTAAAATGTGTATTGAATATTGATAAATACAATTTTTAATAAAAACCTAAATCTGATTTACTTAAATTTTACCGGTAAATTGAAAACCTAAGTAAAACCGCAATATGATAAAACTCAAGATCTCCGTATATATAATAACTGTAGACAATTCCCGGCTTGTGGGTATAGAATCACCCTGTATATACGTATATATCATTACATATATTATAACAAACTTGACTCGTTGGCCCTCTATACTGTACTCGTATCATAATAATATTATATAACACGCAAAATAATGGCGCTGCGCATGGGTCGTTTTAATGGGTTTTTTGTGTTATAACAGGACGACGAAGAAGAGGGCGGATCGCCCGGCTCAGATGACTGTCACATCATACATAACGACAAATCTACAGATTTTATCCTGTCCACGGTCATGGAAGAAACCGCGTAAGTGTAAATATTCGTGCCTATACCTACACAATAATATAACTTCTTATCTACCTATTATAATAAATAATATTTTATTCTAAGATCGCACAAACCCAATGAAGGTGTTACCAACTTTCTATTACTTACTTAATGCGTTCTTTATGGGGAACACACAAATTTGCTCTTATCTAATGCGTTAAAAAGAAATTTATCTATAACTACGCAGAGTTCAATTTTGGTTTTCCGGAAGTTATTTGTTCAAAATCTTTATTTTATAAAATGATAATAATATTGCGAATATTACTGCAAAAATTCCGCATAGTTAAGAAACATACAATAATAGATAAGAAAAAAGGAAAAACGTTGTAAACAGGGTGCACCATATATATTTATATAGGTAAAAAAAATTTCAATCAAAATCAGCATTCCGTGTGTTATTGTCTATATGATTGAATTTCAATATTTTGTTTTCTCGTTCTATTTTCTTGGACTTTATAGGTTATAGTAATATATAAAAAAAAAAAAAAAATTGTATTTCACCGATTCAATAAGCTGTAAATGTTCCAATTTTATAAAACCATTTCTGAAATACAATCTTTTTGGGTTCTGTTTTTATATATGATTAAAACTGAATTAATTTCAATAAATTAGAAATGTTGAGTTAACATCATATAAGTTGCCCGGTTTTGCATCACAGACATGATATGTTACTGTTATAGATACAACAGTTTTATGTAACAATTATAGTTAAATCCTAAAATATTGTGAGGTTTGAATAGCAATTTGTTCACGTAACACAAAACCAAATAAAAAATAACGGTTATAATTGGGTTATAGATTTGCCACTTGTGACACGCGTGTTTTGACCTATTTGTTCAGGGTTTTTCACCCACTATCCACACGAGACAATTAAATAAATTCACTACCCACGTCGTCGTTAATGTTTTGTTTTTGTTTACGCTAATTTAGTACACACATTTTTCAAACGGCAAAAAAACTCTGAATACCTGAGTTACGAACTATTTAACGAGAAAATCATTTAATTAATATTTAATAATGTTAAATTATTGATATCAATAAATATAACCGATTACCTAAAAGGCTATCGACTTGTTTATTCGCTCAAAAACATTCTTCACAGGAAAACCTCTCATGCCTCGAAGAGTGAACAGATTTCGATCATAATTCATTTGTTGAAAATATGAATATATCTAACAGAAGGTGTGCTAAACTTGGATTTTTAAAATAATATGTCTAAAAGTTAAAATTATTAGAGTTTGAATATGACCAATTTATACAATTTGTGTAGCTTATTTTTTTAGATTTTAAAAGTAAGGTGAGGTATATTCGTAAGTATTAATTGGGAAAGATCGGAAAAAAAATAATAATAAAAAGGCGAAAATTCCCAGAACGATACTAATTTTATTGTTTTTTATATTTTACAAACAGAAAAAAAAGTAGAAATGACGGGATTATTTCCGAAGATAATACTTTTATTTTTTTATTGTTATTCAGTTTAAAATATTCATAGAAACTTGAAATTTTAATAGAAAAACTAAATTGTGTTTTCCTAAATATGGTAAAACTTCAAAAAAATATTTGAGCCAATTTTAAGCTATCAATGCATATTTTTATTTTGTAACATTTTAGGTAATTTTTATTTAGTAAATACAGTGGAACCTCGATAACTCGAATCGGTTGGGGGCGAAAAAAAAATTCGAGTTATCGAAAATTCGACTTATGGAAAACATATACATATCACACACATATCATATGTTGGAAGCCAGGGACCAAGGTATTCCTTCGAGTTATCGAAAATTCGACTTATAGAGGTTCGAGTTATCGAGGTTCCACTGTACTTTGTAAATAAAAATTTAATTTGTGAGATTAAACGGAAATGCTTGAAAATTTAACAGAAGGTTCATAAAAGCCGTATTCGGTGGTCAAGAAAAATTGAATATTGTGTATTTCAGTTATTTTTTTACACAAGTTTTTATATCAATTTTTCACAAAAATCTTAAACATTACGGCATTTCAAAACATGTCTAACCGAATTTCACTCCGAATCATTTTTTGTTAGCAACGGTTTATCGTTGCATACAGATATAAATAATATAATATAAGGTTTTCCTGCCCCCTCCACTTCCAACCCACAAACAATAACACACTCGTCCCCAGTATCAGCTCTTTTTTTTTATTGTTTTTGTTTTTATTTTTTTTTCAAAAATTGTAGTTACTACATGTTTTTCCCTTACCAAACCGATAGCAAAAATTCTAAATCGAATCATTCTTTGAGACATGAGTTTTCATGTAAATTATGCTGTGATGGTGTGGGTTAAAAATCCATTCTTTTACAGTCCCCTTAATTTACCCTCCCCTTATTTTAGACATTCAAACCGAATAGTTTATTTATTAAGAATATTGTCGATTGTAAGTGTTAACAGTTTTTAAAACAAGAAAAAACTACGATCAGAAGCCTAAACTGTTTTTCCCATACCTGACAAAGTTTTATCGCGTTTTCTAGTATTTTGCATAATATATATGATTTGTTTCATAGACTATTTTCTAGTATTGTATTTTAATGAAAACAATACAATACAATTTTATAATTTAATTAAGTTAAACTCGTAATTAGTTCAGTAATGTAAAAAGTTTTACTTTACGAAATATAAATGTATAAAGTAAAAATGTAGGATTTTTTATTTTTTTAAATTTCAATTATTTCAAGTGGTTGTGCGAATTTTAGATTTCGTTTCGTGTTCTTTATTATTATTCAAATTAATTGTTATGCTCTAAGAAAATATTTCATCTGACAAACGTAACAATTTTACGACAAATAATTTAGCGAATTAATTAATATTATTAATATATATTTAAGTTTCTTGAATTTCTCGGGCTGGTGGACGTTAAAACGAAAAAATATAACAATGTATAATATGAAAAAAACAAACAATCTCGCTGCGCGACTACGCTTTTTTCGTCTCGGGTGTTTAAGTTTGGAAAACTCAGTCTGTTTAATAGTAATGATAATAATAAAAAAAAAAATATAAAAACAATTGTTTTTCTGTCCGTTTTTGATTCTAAAATAATCTAAAAAAATAAATAGGTACTTTGCAAAACTACATTTATAAGAAATAATAAAAATAAAAAATTATAATAACTGCTTTCTTTAACAAAACTCTTTTACTATAACAATAAATGGAACAATTATTATGTAATATTTAAATGTATAATGTGAATAAAAAAATATACATAATTATTTATTCGTATTATTATTATTATTATTATTTTTTTTTTTTTTTTTTTTTTTACACAAACGTAAATGACATTTTAACGTAAACGTTACTGAACATTTTAAAAACACATTGACCTTTTTTTTTTACTTTTGTTTTAATCAAATTATTTAGCTATTGATTTTTGCGACCCAAACCACACAAAACAGATAGTTTGATATGATATGTATAAAATAATTAATATAAAAATGAATAATTATGACGGTAATTATACACGTATCGATAAAATTAAAATACAATATTTTTTTTTTTTTTTGTGTTAAACACATCGAAAAAAAATACTTTAAAAATATTATTACAATCAATTGGTTCATTCAAATACCTCTTGTTCATCATTTAACCCATGCTACCTCCTATGTACCCATATGTTCTCTCATTCACATGACTATTTTTATTTCAGCTACATACATTCTCTTTTATAGTTTCTGTACACCGTCCAACACTACAAACCATAAATTTTTTCATTGAATATTTTCGCCCGGTTAAGAATCTAATTGATAAATTTGACTAGAACACGGAGTATTTATCAATAACGAATAATTTATAATTGTTGAAAATTTGATGTCAATATACTGCTACATACGTATTGAAAAATATCGTCGTCATCTGCAGCAATAACGAAAACCGCCATTGTCGTTTCGTATACATGGTGTCCCACAAATATATACCCATGATTATAACTCCGAAGATAATAAAGATAACCAAATTCTGTTGTTTATATGTTACTCGCAGCGATAAGGACTACGCATATTTATATTTCAATTAATTTTTTATGTTTTTGTAAAATACAATTTAAAATTTATTATTTTTGAACAATTTGAAGATAGCTGTTTCACGGAGTTTATTTTGACATATCAACTATTAATTTTTATTAAATTCGTTATTTTTAATAATGTTTTAAATTCAGAGAAAATTGCCTATAATTATGCATCCGGTTGTAATCGCATTCTCTAATTATTATTATTAATACTAATATTAATAATGCTAATATTAATACTAATATTAGCAGTACACTTCTTTTCTCTCAATTTTAAAAAATAATTAAAAATCATAAATAAATGAAAATGAAAATTTCATACGTCAACATTTTTAAAAGTATTAAGTCTATAAAATGGCAGATATAATACAGTAAAGTATTATTTTAGATTCTGAACGGAGTGAGAAGTGTATTGGTTTTACAATTATTTTTTTTATGTGAACATTTTTTCTACTAAAAAATTTCTCCAATTATCAAGTACAACATGTTTTCTGAAAGAAAATGTTCTCTGGGTGATCCTTTAAAGATGTCATTTTTTGAAATTCTCATTAATATTCGAAATAGTGAAGATTACCTGATTCTTTAGATTAAAATAGATTAAAAGATTAAAAATTAGCAATGGCAACCGTTTTTTTATTTATTTTGTGTTATTGTTAAGTTTTTATTATTTTGTACATGTTTTTTAAAAAATAATTGTTGTCACGGAAACGCACATTGTTGTAATAATTTTACCATAATATGATATGATTATTTTTGACAAAGAAACACATTCAACTAAATTCCGTTCAGAAACGTTTTTTTCGTTAGCAATGGTTTATCGTTGCTTACATATATCCATTAAATTCCCGTTTGTGTACTACCTTCTCAATTTCCCACCCACAACAGTGACTGCACCCACGTGCGAAGTATATCCGTTCTTTTTTTTTTTTAGTTTATTTTCTATAGTTAATATTGCAAAATAAATATTTTTGTAATTCTTATCCCAAGGAGTAATATATACACACAAAAATAATACCAGAATTCGATTATTTTTACATTTATCTTGAGATAATATTACAATGAATATACGGCTTCGCGGGACACCCTGTGTGTACATAAAAATTTAATAATTTACCTCTGCACGAGTTGCGTTTCGTTCATATAGGTATACGATATTATTATTATTATTATTATTATTATATAGGTAAAGCGATTCGCGTATTTCCTACTGACACGGCGGAATATAAACTGAAAGTTAGAACTTTGCGCGCGTTGATGATGTCCCCGTCCCCGTCCCCGTACGACAGCGCCGAATCGTGACCGTCCAAATGGATCGGAAACTAAATTTCTCAGCGACTATACTTATAACACGTCCTGTATATAATAATAGCGCGAACTGCGGACCCCGCTGCCGAAGCGACGAGATAACCGTCGAACTATAAACGTGCGACATTAGTGGAAAGTCGGCGCGCGGCCCGAATATGTTTTGATGAGTCGTCGTGTCCCGTTTAATCGACGGACACATAGCCCGCGCCGCAGTAACACCCGGAGTAATGGCACCCGTCCCGGGAAAACTGATGGTCCCAATAGGTATCGCAATCGCGATAATAACTGCATTCTCCGTGTACAATAATATTAGTGTATTATCGGAATTGCTCGGGAGGCCGTGCCCGCGGGCGGCGATGGTGTCAGTTTCGAGCGTCCCCGCGGCAACGCCTTCGAATGACCGCCGTTATTGTCCGGGCGACGGCTGCGCTTACCTTGGTAGAGAAATAACGATTATTGTTGACGGAGACGACAAAAAGAGCTAATACCGTGGACGGCCGCGCGGCCACTGTTGTCGGCGGTAAGTCGGGAAGGCGGGATACGTAAAGTCGTTTAACGTATATCTGCGGGCAACGGTAGAACATTGTCAACGAAAAATGATTACGGACGGAGTCATTCGTGTGATTAAAAGCCGTAAATTTTACTTTTTTTCATAAAAATTTGAACTAAAAAAAAAAAAAACCGTTACATGACGTTCATTTGTTTTTCTTTTATTTTATTTCACCTGCCACTAAGTACAACCCGTAACGAACCTCGAGTTGAATTTCCAAGCATTTCGGTTAAGTCAATCAATTTATATCCACACATAACCTATCGTAAAATGAACTAAGAAACACAAAGATGTCAAATGTCTATACGTATAAAAACTCATTTTAAAACTACATTTTTTTTTTTTTTCTGAATTGTATGTTTCAAACGATGAATATTGAATATTTTGTAGATTTTCCGTAGTTTATAAAAAATTAACACTAGTATTCTGTAAAAATGTCAGGACTTTACATTTACAATTTCAAGCGAATTGCAACAATAAAACGAAATCGAAAATAATGAAATTATTAATGCCGTAAACTTTCTGTGTTTTTTTCAATAATAAGAAAATTACCCAGAAAATCGAAAAACGAATTCATCACACAACAATAAGACAAATTTTCGGGATGCTTAGAATTTGTAAAAAATATCAGATGAAGTATCGGTAATTGATACAATAAAACAAAATGAAAACAAAAAAGTTAAGCAACACCCTATCTACGTCACAACTTATTTCTGTACGTTATCGGTTGTATATATAACAATAATATTATTAAATCATTAGGTATTTATAAAACAAAAATTATGCAGCAACCAAATTATCCTAAATTAGATCAATGGGTAATTAAATCTATAGATCGCCGTCGTTATAATGAATAGTGACATAAAGTTAAATACAATTTTTATACCACAGGATGGTGGCGACGTTGGCCACACCGTCAAACCTTACTGCCGACCCAAACGGAAACTTGGGTTCCAGATCGCTGGATATAGATCTCGTAACGAGGGTTCTCAACCCGAATCAGACGGTCAGCTCCATTAGCGACAAGATCGGCGATAAGGTAAAATAATTCTATACTCGTTCTATTAAAATCGTTAAATATACTTAAATTTTATTAATAAGTGATTAATTTTATGAGCGATTTTTTTTGTATTTTGAAAGCATGTCTGCATATTAAATAGTTTTAAAGACATTTATATTTGTCTTTATGATCAACATAACAAAAGGCACTTAAGACATTACCTCAGAAATTATTACATTTTTTTCGGGATTTGATTTTTAGAAATTTTAAGAAACAAGCAACTCTAAAATGTTACATTACCGTTATTTTTCGTGACTCTTATTGGGGATATCATTATCCAAGTTTAATTTTCAAATGGAAATCTGATTTGAAAATTTTATAAAGAGATAAAGTTTTGGTTTTTATATATTGTTGTATTGAAATAATTAATTTCAGTCATCTGGTAGACGAGATATTCCACTTTTGGGTTAGTAGTATTTTAGGTTAATGGAGAGCAATGGCTCAAAAAAAATATATAGGTATTTTGGTTATATTCAAAAAATAATATCTTAATATTAAAGGTCTTAAAAAGTTAAAATTAAAAAAAGACTACGTAAATAACCTTATAACAAATGCATGCATACATTAAAAATTAAAATCGGGGACATTGGTAAGTATGTCTAGGATTTGCATATCAGATGTTAGTCTAAAACTTAACTTTTTGTGGAGAACCCAATAGAAATGTCTGTAAAAGCTTTGAACCTGTAAATCTGAACAGTAGAAATACGAAATTCTCAAATATCTGGAAAATAAATCGTAAAAATCGTTTTGCCCGGTCCAGATTTTAACAGATTTCAAATTATTGAATTCCGTGTTTTTACCGTCCTGACTTGAAAATACATATGATTTTTTTGTTTGTTTGTTCTTCTTTATTTGTTGTAAATAACGAATATATCACGTTGTCGTTTACAATACAGGCACCGATGAAACGCAAAGACTCTTCGACGACATCTTCGATGTCCACGTCAACAACGACGGCGACGGCTGCCGCGGTCACGACGGCGGTGACGGCGACGGCAGCCGCTCCGCAGTCGATTGACCGGTCGAACCGTTCGACGCAGTCGCTGGTGAAACGATCTTTGTCGTCGATGCTCCGCAACGGGTCCGAGGAGGACGGCACGAGGTGTTCAAAAAAAGAGTATAAGACGGCGGCGGAGGGCAGCAGCCGGTTCACCATATACAAGGTGAACAAAGCAAGCCGGAAGAAACGGGAGAAATCGTCGGCGCGCAAAGAGAGAAAAGCCACGAAAACGTTGGCCATAGTCTTGGGTAAGTCATTATGATGGTTTTCATTCCTCCCCGCATATTTTTCTCTTTAGGGTTTTTGCTTCTTTTTTTTTTTTCGCTCATCCGCCCGCACAATATCTCGCCGGAGTACCTAGGTATGAAATATAACCCGAAAGATGATGTCTTCTCAGATGCCCGTCAGTTTTATCTTAATGTTGTACATATTTCCCGCGCGTCGTGTCGTCATCTCATCATCGTGCCCGAAAAAAAAAATAGACGTTTTCTTCCTCCGAGCATAACAACAACAACATAAAAAAAAATAAATAATAATAATAATACCAGGTAATAATAATGATAATAAAATATCATATTTATCTTCGGCACGCTTGCACCGTCCTGTACAATATCCTGTTTTTATATATGGAAAAAAAATACCTTATACACAACATTGTGTTAATAAAATGAATTCTCGTGGTTAGATGATGGTATTTCTCCTGCCCCCCTCTCCACTTCCGTCATCGTACAAAACATAACGTTTATACCGTTGTTGTGGTGTTGGTTTTGCCATGCGATTTATACGTGCCTTGCACGTGATCAGTTTTATAACCAAATCGGTATTTTTCGGTTAAATTTACGACCGCTCAAAGGTCCGGAACAGTTAACGCACTATACGTGTAAAGGAAATATATTGTAAATTAAACTTATCGTCTACGCTACTTAGGTACACGTTTGTGGGAATTTAAAAATAAAAACGTAAAAAGTCGTCGATAAAATTCAAAGATTACCGCACTGCTATTATAATACATTCAACGTGTCGAATTTTATTGGGATTCGTGATTCATTGTATATTTTGGCAGCCAACAGATGTACAGATATACTTCATGTACAATTTGGCTTTCCTATCGAATAAATACGTACTGATTCAAAGGCGGATTATGAATTTAATGGTCTGAGTTAATCGATGAGAGGGAGTGTATATGAATTGGAAAACATTTTATCGATCCTTTTAGAAACGACTTTGCCCCCCTCCTTTCTTCCGCATTCTAACTAAAATGTACAAAGATTCCACTTAATACTGTAAAACTTTAAAACAGAATATCTGAAACCTATGTATGGATGGTTCATTTCATTCTTCAAATTTACCTCGTCGAATAATATGATGTAATTTGAAGATTTCGATGTCACCATATCACAATAACTACGTAAGTAATAAGTTTTTTAAAAAAAAAACTCATCCATTTCGTCATAAATATTTTACTTTACCGATTAGAAAAAATATAACATAGACAATACTTTAAAGATACATTCCGACTACTATCACCCGCCTTCATTATAAACGATGATCGCTGTTGAGGCAGATTGAACTCAAAATAATGTACCCACTAAACGTTACTGATTATACATTTGAAGTTATGTAATATTATTAGAAACTTGCTTGTCCGTTTGTGCTTATTGTTTAATTATTATTTGTTTGTAAAGAGAAAAATAGATTTATAACAATATTATTGTAAATTGTCCTATTCAATATTACGTGTAACATGTTATAGAGAAGTGATAATGGCGTAAAAGAGTTCAATTAGATAGAAGATGTTTGGATTCATAGGATAAATTGATACTATTCTTCCTTTAGATAAATAAGAAGACGGCTCGAAAAAACAAGCCGTCAAATATAAATAACAAACTTATACATTAGTAGATGCAAAGGAAATTGGTTTGGAAATTACCGAGGAAAAAAACAGAATGAATGGTAACACAAACCATGGTGAAATGTCAATAAAGTCAATTAGAAAGCTTGATAAATTTAAGAATATCCAGCAGTTAAAATATCTAAAAACAACCATAAACTAAAATAATGATATTAAAACAGATATTACACCGAGTATTCAAGCTGGAAATAAATGCTACTTTCGACTGAATATTCTGTATCCTAAACGCTGATATTATACCTAATCTTATTAGGTCCAATAACAATGTATGGCTCAGAAACCCTGACAATTTAAAAAAAGATTGAGAACGGGTTTTTCTGATATTTGAAACGACATTTTTATGAAGAATTGCTGCTTATTGTAGCAATTGAAAAACGGGAGAATAGTGCACAAATTAGAAAAATTTAAACATTGTCCTGTATAAATTCAGGACAATACGTATACGTGTATTGTATACGTAAGCTTTGTATACGTTTTATATTTTTTCAAATTTATATTGACATTTTCAAGTGATTATTCAAAGGTTTTCCATGGACTTTAATGCAATTATATAATACTCGAGCAAAATATAATAGATTGATTCGATCAATTATTATTTTAGTTCCGAACGTTTCTCCCATTCTGAAGTTACGGCAAATAAAGTATTTGTTTTGACGGTGAATAATATATGCATATACATAGTCTTTCCACTCTATACACAAAGAGTTTTCACAAAGTCACAAATCGTGTTCCTGCTTCTTTCTACTTGTTGTTTTATGTAAGCAAAAAAATAAAAGTAAAATAAAATAAAATGGAAATCGGATGTTAAACTCGTAAACATTAATTTCGCAACTAACGGTATTCGTATATTATATACAATACGTTTAAAAGTAAATGAAATATGGAATTAATAGTGTAAAATGTATGTTCGCATTAAGTAGTTTAAAATAAATCTCATAAAAGTAAAACGTTCAGCATATTAATTATTAATTCCGTTTTAAATTTTTCGTATTACATATATATTCCATTATTCGTTATACTTTTTACTGTCATTGTATTATTTTTATTATTAAAAGGATTGATATTTTGACGATAGGTATTACGGACATACCCCGCCGTGATACAATAAATATAAAAACTCAAGGATATATAAATATATTATTATTTTAGAAAACTCGATAAGCGTTCGGTACGAATAATTTCACTTTGGCACTTTAATACTTTTTGCTACTGTTTTCTATATAATATATCATAAAATTAAAGCTAGGGAATATTTTGTTTTTGTTTTTTTTTTTTTTTCAATATCGTATAGAGAAATTAAACCAGAATTTACGTTTCAAAAATAATACTATTATCACTATATGTGTCTTGGAACTGTTTAAGACGTTTAAGTGCCTTTCAATCCTAATTCTAATATTAAACGGCTGAGTGCAACGAGAATAATTATTACAAACAACTTCTGAGAATGATTTACATAATTAATTGGATAAATGGCATGCATTCTTTAACTAGCTAGGTACGAAATAGAATCCTCTACACTCAGTGATCCTAATATTAGTAAAGTTTTACCAGTAGATTGTGTCCACATGCAATAAAATTTAAAACGAATGATAATTTTAGAAGCAAGTTAGTAGGACGATAAATTGAATTCGTAGAAAAAACTTTTAGAATAAAAGCAATTAAAAGTCCGAAATGTTGTTAAACTGTTAGATAAGTTGTTGATGGTTCTCACTAGTAGAGCAAGGTTGTAAGCGAGTATTTTGGAGGGTAGTATATACAGGCATTTATACCTACGTTTATCCTTGGTTTAACTATTAAAAGATATGCAATGAAAACCAAAAAAAAAAAAAAAAACTTCTGCAATCCTCAAATTGAATTCGGGCACGCGTGAATTATATTGTCGACTGCTCGTACTATTGTTGTAATTTTGTCGGAAATTATTAGGCCTGTTATTGAAATTGTCCCTATTCATTGGCGGTGGACCACTACAACTGTTATCGACCTGGTTATCGTTACCGTTGCGCTGTTGAGCATGATTTTAATTATAGTTATTAAACGGGTTAAAATCGTTACGATTACTTTGGTCCATATATTGGAAATTATTGTTATTAGGCTGGAAATTATTCGATCCGTTTAAGTACTGAATATTTTTCCGACGATTGAAGTTGTCAAAATGTATATTTTTTTTTTCAAATTTATTCTAAACTTGAAACTTGTAAATCTAATTGCGTTATTTGTTTTTCTATCTTATTTTCATTTATTATATTTACGTGGTTTTCAGTTATACGGACTTTAATTTTATCGGGAGAACCTGAAATTGTATAATTTATTATAAATTCAATCGGTTCGTATTTTCTTATGTTTGCTTTTAAACTATGCAATGTGTCGTTGTTCAAAATGCCCATATGTCTAACAATGTCTGATTTTAGACCTTTCATAATTGAATATACTAATTCGGATTGTGACATATTTGTACCAATACGTATGCATAATTTTTCAACATAGTTTATAAAAGGCTATAAATTCATTAGGTAATTGTTTATTTTTTTAAAGAATGGTCCACAACATATGTTTGTATGCAATGGGTTCAAATTCAATTTTAAAAGCATTTGTTCGCATGTAGAATCGCGATTTTTTTGTTCAAAATTATCTAAAAATATTGAAGCAGAGTATTTGAGATGAATAATTAGAAATAATATTTTTTTGTTCAGAAGACTAACCGTTTATGACGCTGGCTTTATTATACTTATAAAGAAAAGAATCTACACATTCGTGGATTGCATCGGAAAATTGTATCGGTTTATAAAAAATAATTATATTATTTAATTTGTTGTCCATTTTTTTTCGATTTTTCTAATGAAATTCTGATGGTGAAACAGGACAATTAGAAATTTCCTCTAATAGTGTTTAACTTATATGTTATATATTTAAACGAGATTTGAGTTCAAATTTTTTTTTTTATTTTTTTTTTTTTTTTTTTTTAATTCAATTACTTATGGATTAATTATTGAATTATTTGAACCGTATTTTAAAGCAAGAATATTTCTACAAAAATTGCCTGGTGCATTCGAATTGTTAGATAAAGCCTATTGAGGTTTAGTTCCGTAAATCGAAATTAAAAAATTGTGTGTTTATGATATTTGTTGAACAAATATTTTGTTAAAATGTTGTTAATTTCGAGAAATCGTCCACGTAATAAATTGGCGTATTAAAAGAATTTAATATATTGGGAACAATTTGAAATTGTATTTTGAACATTTAATTATTGAATCATTGTGATTGATTGTCTTAATAATATTTCTTTCACACACGAGTAAATTGTATAAAATAAAATAAAATTGTATTAAATGGGGTAGGTATAAATGTTCAAG